CACACACCCGCCTGCGAAACGGCACAAACCCGCCTGGCAACATCAATCCCGCTTTACTTGAAGCTAGTGATGCTGACTATGCATCTTTGAAAGCTTGGATGGAAGAGGAGGACAGTGTTGAACCTTCCTCATTTATTCTTGAGCTGCCGTCACTTTAATATGTGAATATGGACTTTTTCCGAGAACTTGTTGAACCTGAGGAGTGGTTATGGACCTATGTGAGTTACATTTATTTTTTCCTATATTTTAGTATTGTTATGTGTTGCTGACTTTGTATTTTTTTGGTAGCACTTGGATTCTATTATGTATCTATTTGCCAAAGGCATGGTGGAGAAACACTATGAATTAATGAGTCCTTACTTTGTGGTACGTAATAGATTGAACACAAACAATTTTATTTAGGAACACAAATTCAAAACACATTTACTTTGTTTTGTAGCATCAACTTCTAAAGAAGGATCCAGGGAATGACAAGATGTGGTATGTGTTGGTTAAAGACAAAGATGTAACAATTATAGAAAAGGTTATTGAAAAAGATTGTAGAAACTACACTGATAAGGTGAGGCAACTTAGGCTAGGGAGTGGTGATGCAATGGCAATTCAAGGGTTCTTTGCTACTATGCAAGCCCAATGTCCCATATTTTTCTTTGGCCTTGACTTAGATGAGGAGTCAAGATTGTGGAATGTGTTTTGGGACGACAATCGGTGTAGGTATGCTTATAAATCTTTTGGACATGTCATCGTGTTTGACACAACTTACCTTACAAATAGGTATGACATGCCTTTTGTTCCATTTGTTGGGGTCAATCATCACGGCCAATCTATATTGCTAGGATGTGGATTAATATCTAGTGAAGATACACACACTTTCGTGTGGCTATTTACAACATGGCTCAATTGCATTTAGGGATGTGCTTCAATGGTAATTATTACGGATCAAGATCGTGCAATGCAAAACGCCATTAAAATTGTTTTCCCAAATGCGAAACATCAGTGGTGCCTATGGCACATAATGAAAAAGGCATCCGAAAAACTCGGAGGCCTTGCACAAAAAGATGATGTCTTGGATGCTCTACATGAGTGCGTTTATGACTCCCAATACGTGCAAGAATTTGAGCATAAGAGGACTGAGATGTTACAAAGGTACAAATTTCTGTAATTTTCACAGACATATATTTGTTCGCAGACAAACATATTTGTATTTCACATACGGAAATTTGTATGTGGGCAGTGAGTTATTCTATGTAATCATTTGTAAAATGTTGATGATTTCATTTCAGGTATTCACTTCAAGATCACGAATGGCTCGATGTGATGTATAATGAAAGAACGCGGTGGGTACCGTGCTATTTAAAGCCAACATTTTGTACGGGTATGCCTACAACACAACGAAGTGAGAGCATGGATGCTTTTTTCGTTTCCTATGTCAATTCCAAAACAACTCTCAAACAATTTGTTGAGCGATATAGACGTGCATTGCGAAATAAGGTGGAAAAGGAGTTTCATGCGGACACTAATTCTTTTACCAAATGATCCCATGTGTTACTATATGCCATGGAGAAACAAGTGCAAAAAATTTACACCCTAGCTAAGTTCAAGGAGTTTCAAAATGAAATGGTTGGCAAGGTTTATTGTGATCTCTTGTTATGCGAGGATGGTAAAATATTCATGGTGAAAGATGATAAAATTAATGAGTTGGATCACAGTGTGAATTTCTTTGGGGAGTATGACCCATTAAGTAATTTTGGAGTTTGTAATTGTCGCTTATTTGAATTTCAAGGTATGGTGTGTAGACACTTGATTGTGGTCCTACTTCGGGTTGGTTTGAAAGTCTTGCCCGATGCATACATCTTCCAAAGACGGAGGAAAGATATGAAGAGAGATTACCAACGAGTGAAAATCAATTACGACGGGTGAATCACAAAGGTGGAACAAAAACGGGTTGAAAAGTTATGCAAGACGTTTGAATCGATGGCTAACATTATTGCTGATGATGAAGACAAGTACAATAACGCCCTCCTTTGGTTGGAGATCCAATTATCCACATATACTCCACCGCTTTGTCATTCTTCTATAGGTGGCACCATCATATCACACCCATACAACACCCTACCACAAGTGTGCAAGGCGAGGGTGAGGTTCCACTTGTGATTGGAGATCCTAAATGCTCTAAGCGCAAGGGCTCTCCAAGAAAAAAAAAAACGGCATAAGGGGCCACTTGAAAAGGGGAAGAAAAAGGGAAAGACTAGGAATGATAATGCACAAACTCTGAACACACCGACCTAACATGGAAATGTTGAAGGTGCTAGTAACGTGTGTAGTGTGCCATGTATGCACCCTAGTGGTTTAGATCTAAATTTATATTACGTATTTGTTTTAAATGCCTTTTGTATGATGTACATTGATGTGTGTGTGTGTATGAAGTCCCATATAGTATTATGCAAAGACACATTATTATGTCCTACGTGCAGACACTTTAACCCAATTACAGACACAATCAGTAAATGCACAACCAATTGTTTATACCTCACAAACACAATCACTAAAGACATGGACAATTGGTTATGCCTCACAGACAGAATCAGTTAAGACACATACAATTGATTTTACTGCACGAAAATAATATAAAGGGATAAAAAAAGTCTTAAACTGACATTGTTGTTTCATAAAAGTGAGACAAATATAAAAGACATTGTGTGTTCGAGTAAATATGTGATGTGAGTTTTCTCGCACTTAAAATAGATCATAATATAGTGGTGTAAGTATGAGTATCGTCTCCACAGGGACGGACAAAAGGGAATTAAGAATTAATTAAATTCAGCGATTAAAAAGAAAATAAAATAAAAGCGTCGTGCGAGATTGGTTGGTTTGGAAAATAAAACTAATGCGAACAATTAAACTAGGGGGTTCTTTCTAATTAATGACGAAGGGAACAGGGATCGATTCCGGGGTAACCAGATTTCTGGCAGATCAGGCCTAATTACATGAAATTAATTTAATTGAGCCTAGCTAATCATTACTAAGTTCTTACCGCTCTCGCAGCGTAGAGTACAATAATTTAGGGGACCAGGCTGATCTCTCATGCGACAGGATCCTAAATTATTGCCAAGACGAGCGAGCTTACGGCCCCTTAATCGCTACTAATCTCTTAGCGAACGATTAAGTGTGTGTGAATGTGTCCTAGAACAAATTAGATCTCTCTTAATTTATTCTACATGCAATTGTAATTCTAGTCGCGATTCTAGGTTACAAAAGATGTCAATTAAATTATTCAAACACAAATTAAACGGCATTCATGCAATTAAACCGAAAAGAATCTAGCCATACATCATGATTAACCCCTTTATCAATCCCAAATCCCTAATTAAAACTACTCACAATTCATAATTGAAGAATCAATAGAATTGGAATAAAAAGAATTAATTGTCATTAATTAAAAAGGTGGAACTTACAAAGAATCCCAAAAGATTGATGAACAAGGCTGAAAAGCCCTCTAAAATTTGTGCTAGGCACTCTCTCTAAGCTCCCCCCTTGAAAACGGGGGTTTACAGGCTGTTTAAATAGAAACATCGGGTGAAATTTGAGCTGAATTAGGATTTTCGGAGCCAGACACGATGCCAGGCACGATCGTGCCTTCGATCGTGCCTCCGGAGCAAAAACGCGCATTTTGGGCAGGCACGATCGTGCCTCCCTCCAGGCACGATCATGCCTACTTAACTTCCGAATTTGACAAAACTTCCTTCATGAAAGTTGTAGATAATGAAGTCCTCTATCCACCCCAATTTGCCGAATGTGATTTGAATCATCCAATCAAGAGATATGATCAAAACGGTGGAAGGTGTCTTTCTGAAATCGCAGCAGAGATCATCTGACTTCACATGTCTTTCTGAAATCGCAGCTAGGAAATCCAACTTCAAGGGCTACAAATCATATGAAGACACCTTTGTGAGAATCTGAGAGTAAAAAGGTGAAAACAGACGATGAAGTCAGATGAAGGTAGGTTCGTTCTCTCCTTCCTCCCCTCTTCTCTAGTTCTCTCCCTCTTCTATTTCGTTGAAGATGCTCCATTTCTTCCTTGATTGGTAAAATATGCCAAGTTCAGCACTGAAAATGCCATCAAAATGACATTCTCATTCTTCAAAAAATTCTATTTTTTTAAAATGCCATTAAAGTGGCATTTCCGATTCATTTTGGCATCTGATAAAAATGTTGACATTCGTGCGGGGAACGGCCAGATCTGAAATGATAAAGGCCAGATTTGTGGCGGAAGATTCCGGATCGGCTGCGATAGTGGCCGGATCTACAAGGGCGGCGGCTAGCGTTCGACGAAGGTTTGATCGGACCAGATCTCCGGCAACGTGCGCCATATCAGTAGCGGCGGCAACCATATCTACGTCAGCGGCGGTCAGATCAACATCAGTGGCTAGTCTTGAGGTGGCAGAGACGTCCGGCGACCGGCAACATCCAGCGATGACCGGCGACTAGCGGTGGTTCGGCGTTCTGGTCGGTGGCAGTATGAATTCCATGCTCCAAGGGTGTTTATGTCCAATTGCAAATAATAACTCCTATTTTGGGAATTTTTAAGCTTTAGTCCTATTTTGACAATTAAAGATTTATTTACTCCCATTTAGGTCATTACCCCTTAATTAAGTTAATTTTGTGGCTTGATTTGGTTTATTGACTAAAACCAGTCGAATTAAATACGAAGTACATGATATTACTACTTAGAGAGTGTTTGCAATCGCTTTAAAAAACGCTTCTCTGCTTTTGGCTTAAAAATACTAGAATTAGTGTTTTCAAGTGACAACTTCTGCTTTAAAAAAGCGTTTCATGACTTTTGGCTCAAAAATGTTTTTTGCTTTTACTATAACACATAAAAAACATTTATTTTACCAAACACTACCAACTTTAACTTTTCAAAACCGTTTTTTCTCAAACACCATCAACTTTTACAATTAATCATTTTTTTTCCAAAATTACTTCCAAAAATAAAACGAGTAAAAAGATTACATGTGACGATGAGGGAGGAGGGGTAGAAAAACGTGGTGGCTGGGGAGCCATCGGCCACGTATCCATGTGACTTGTGACTAGTTGTGAGCCTTGCGAGGGACAAGTGATACATCTGCACCCCTACTTCTGCTTGCTCAAGAAGATACTACTCCGTACATGAAAGCAGCGTTTAAAAACTGAGTTTGGCGTAGGAAGTTTCCCAATTGCCCAATCCTCTCTGGTGGTAGCTACGGATATAATCACATCTCTCTTTTGCTAATCTCTCTAGTCTGGGAAAATGGCAACCCATGATCCAGAGCATCCCACTCTGTCTTCCCCTGGACAGGTTCATCTTCTTGCTGCTAATATCTAATTTATGTTAATACTTTCGAAAATTTCTAAAAATATTCTACATCATTGTGCAGGAGCCTCTCCTTCACGGTCAACAACGGCAAGTCGAGAATTATTCTGTACTCGCCTCTGTACTGCCGTGAGTTTTTCTTCCTGATTGTTTACCAGTTCGAATTCAATGCTGGGCCTATATGATTAAGGGTTGGGAGTCATTTTTAAAGTCCTACCTCAAGTAAAGCCAAGACCTTGGCAACACAAAGTACAATTGGAACTTTAATCTTTAAAAGGATTGTACTCAGTATTATTTCTATTGCATTCTTGGGTAAGTCAAACAAGAATTTGTTAATTAGTATGTGAGATCATGAACTGCTGTGAAGCGCTGAAACTTATAGGATTTGGTTTGACCAGGAAATAAAAGCCCACAATAAGTCTAAAACCAGAACCCTTTCTTTCATATGTAACTGCTATTGTGTCTTCTTAAGATGCTATCTATGTGGTCATGGTCTCATATATAAAGAAAGAACATCATTAGTTAAGTAAAGAATAACTTTAAATTGAGAAGGATATAAAAAAAGAAAGATTATGATGATCATGTTTAAGGAAACACCTTATATTTGAGTCATATGTATAGGTATATTATTACTAGAGAGAGCGACCGGTTGGACTCCAACCTGTTGGAGAATGCTAATCTGGAATTGTCTGAATGAGGAACTATAGTTCTTTTTGGCAGAACCAATGTTTTTACCTGTTGAAATGAGTCTGATCTTTTTCTATGAAAAAAGAACAAAAATATTACCTCTAGCCTTTTGAAAGACAAAAAATCGTCAGTTTTCCCTTTTCCAAATATGTCACTAACCTTTGTTTAGTTAACTCGAAAGTCTCGAATTCCCTTTCCTTGTAATCACTATCCAACCTCTGCCAGAAATCTCCACTGTGAACCACGCCGACGACCATCACTCCATCAGAAAAGGCACCGGAAATATTTTGTCATAACAATTTTCCTTTTTTCGTTTTTTTTCCTTTTTTCTCTTTAAAACTTGACAGAACTTTTTTCCAGCGGTCAAAGTGACATCCATAGTAATCATCAGTTTTATGTCACTAACGTAATAAACTAGCAGTGACATTTACGATTTCCCAAATTTATTACCTTGTTAGTAACATTTTTGTCCATATGTAAAATATTACCTTCAATTTAGTAATATTTAAGGAAAAACCCCGTTTTCAATTCAATAAATTTCTGCTTATCAATGACCTTTATGACTTTTTAAAGCAAATAAACTGTGATGAGCAACTTAATATTTCAGCTTCCTGTTCCCTGCTTTTGGAGGACTGCTCTATGGTTATGATATCGGTGCTACATCCTGTGCCACAATTTCCATAGAGGTTTTCCTTATTCTTTGTCTGGTTCAGAAAAGTTAAAGAAAATGTTTGTTATGTTTGATTATGGATGAGTGTAGAGGAATCATTTTATTTAGTAGATCATAAAAAACTTGTGTTTCACATTAATTTGGATGTCATTATAATATAAGGTGAAAATGGTGATGAGGAATTTGAAGGATTTCACTGCTCCTCCACTTCCCCTCTACCCCCTAAATATCTAATCAAACACACATAACTCCTTCCTCCAAAATCCTCAAAGCAAACATGGGCTTAAGTTCCAAGGACTCTCCACAGTCTTTACAACTCTGTACTACTATAATCTATACGTTGGAACCAATATGGAATTAGGTTAGCTTTTAATCGGTAAAACTTTAATTTTTCTGCAGTCTGCCACATCAAGTGGGATTTCATGGTATGACCTATCCTCTGTGCAGCTTGGTCTCATAGTAAGCTTTGCAATTCTCCTTGATATATTTTTGAATTACCTGTGATTTTGTTAGACCATGGTTTGTTTAACCCGCTTTTCTGCCATGAAATTTTGCCGCCCACAGACTAGTGGCTCACTCTATGGTGCTCTGATTGGCTCTGTTCTGGCCTTCAATGTCGCAGATTTCCTTGGTCAGTATTAAATTTTAAAATTCAACACAGCTTTCATGGCAATAATGCATCTCATATTCTACCTTATTAAGTTTAAAATGTAATTTATATTAACTGTAGGTCGAAGAAGGGAATTGATTCTGTCTTCTGTACTATATCTTATTGGAGCAGTGATAACAGCAATTGCACCCGTCTACATTATATTGGTTATTGGACGTTTTGTTTATGGTGTAGGAATTGGGTTGGTATGACACTTCCATCATATTAATGTTTGTACGATGATCCTTTAAAAAAAATGGTCATTTGCATGTTATAAGATATGGTCATTTGCATGTTAATAAGGGACACGTAAATGCATATTTTTTGCACCCAAAAGTCCATGTTAGGTGCTGCAACGTATTCCATGTTAAGGTGCTGCAAGACATGCTTGTCACTCAAATCTTATGTACTTCATTGACTAGCTTGACCTATCAAAGTAACTTGTACTTCATTGGTAGTGTTTGAAAAGAAATATGATTTTGAAAATTAAAAGTTGAGTCTTTGGTAAGGCTTGCTCATTATGCACCCTTGTTAAGAGACCCTTTCTGGACCCTCGCCTTGCGGGGACGCCAATGTGCACCTGGCTGCCCCTAGAAGTTGAGTGTTTGGCAAAAAACATTTGTTTTTGTGTAACTGAAAATGTGAAAAACAGTTTAAAGCACCTCCTGCATACAACTTTTAGATTTCAGTTGCTTAATTTAAGCAGAAGCATTGGTTTGGAAACACTACTCTTAGCCTTTTCAAAAGAAAAAAGCAGAAGGCATTTTTTTGAAGTAATGGAAAACCCTACTTAAAGCTTCTTTGACGCACAAAGTAGAAAAAACACTTTTTAGGTAATGGAAAACACTAATTTTAGCCCCAATAAAGTAAAAGGCAGAAAATCATTTTTAAGTGATGGAAAACACTCATTACACTCAGAACCTACAAGTTTATGAAGAATTGATGGAAAATTAAATGGCACATCTTTAAATACCTTTTGATGTATATGCTCTCTCTCTGGACATATACGTGACAGGCAATGCATGCTGCTCCAATGTACATTGCAGAGACATCACCAAGCCAGATAAGAGGGTTGCTTATTTCGCTTAAAGAGTTTCTCATAGTCTTCGGAATGCTAGTAAGTACAGAGTGAGCTATACCTTGAAACATTTGGTGTGCCTGCTCAAAGCTCGGAAAAGTAATCACGCGTGTGTTTCTCTTGACCATATGTAGTTGGGCTATACAGTTGGTAGCCTTCTGGTGGAAGCAGTTTCTGGTTGGCGGTATATGTATGGAATTAGCGCCCCGTTATCAATTTTTATGGGAATTGGAATGTGGTGGCTTCCTGCATCGCCTAGGTGGGTTCTTCTAAGCGCCATTCAAGGGAAGGGTGATGCGCGGGGTCTACGAGAGACAGCTGTACATTGCTTGCGCAAGCTGAGGGGTGATGCAGTTGGGGATTCAGCATATGATCAGGTGGATGAGATTCTATCTGAGCTTTCTCATCTAAGCGAAGAAAAAGAAACTACCTTTACTGAAATATTTCAAGGAAAGTGTTTGAAAGCCCTAACCATAGGTGCAGGACTGATCGTGTTCCAACAGGTACCTTTTATAAGACCCGCCCACTTTCAATCACATGATTCGACCTAGTGTTATTCTGACTTTTGTCTTTACTGACTTCCTTCAGATTACTGGGCAACCTAGTGTTTTGTATTATGCAGCAAAAATATTTCAGGTAAACATTGTCAGAAGGGCAGAAATTTGCTGTTTTATGCAATTTCAAAGATAAAATATATCTGTCTTCTCTCCCTCCTTTCTTACCCTTGACCTGTACTGGTCTTGCAAAACTATAGGATGCTGGATTTGCTGCCGCAGCTGATGCCACAAGGGCCTCAATCTTTCTTGGGTTGTTGAAGGTTGTTTCTTGAAAAGTAACTCTTTCCTTTCACACATATTTAGTTTTCTACTATGTATGTCTTCAGTCTTCACTTTCCAATCATTCAGATCTAACAGTAGATGTTTCACACTTTCATCTCAATTAAAACTTAAAAGCTTAAAGGTTTGGTAAAATTGCACATTAGTATTTATCTTCAATAGAAACCATATCTGAAGGTCACATGTTCGATCCACATTCTCCGCACCAAATATACAATATATTTCCGACCCCAAATTCTTTTAGGATTAAGGCTTGAATGTTGTTGTATAGAATGCTGCGAATCTACAATCTGCATTAATATAAAGCCATTACTTCCTTTATTTTAAACTACCTCCGGTCTTTATTGTAAGGCACAACTTTGGCTTCCACACAGACCAAGAAAAAGTTAAAGTCTTTTGATACAATCTTCACTTTCCTAATATGCCTTTAAGCATTTCAATGGGAATGTGTTTTATGGTTTTCAATAGGGGCAGTTATTGAAGGAATTTTTTTGGCCATGTCTGGTACAAGTGACTTGTATTTATGACGATGATAGTATGCCCTATAAATAGGACTGAAGGCAGCTTCAATGGTTATGAATGCGTGACCCATTTTCTTGCCTCTTATCAAATCCTTTTGTATTTTCTGCTCCCAGCTGAAGTTAAGCATGATCTGCTTCAACTACATGTATCATGTATGTCTTGTTTTGCTTTGTTTAGATTGCATGGCTCTAAAATTAGCCTTTCGTTACAGCTGATTATGACAGGCGTGGCAGTTGTAGTTGTTGATAGACTTGGGAGAAGACCTCTTCTACTTGGAGGCGTCTCTGGAATTGTACGTTCTCTTTATTTCAGAAGTATCTGATTTTCACTAAACTGCACTTCACATACTGCATATGTTTAACTTATTTTGTTAAGATTGTTTTTGTAAAAAAAAACTGTTTTAGAAAGTAAAATGGTTATAGAAATTAATTTATTTTCTTTGGTTCATGAGTTCATCTTGAAAATGTGAATGAAATAGAATGCGGTGGAAGTTTTCTAAACACTCTCCCATTATTTATATTTTCCGTCTTTATGTCATACAGATTAGAATAAATATAAATATAAATGAACGTATACATAAGATTGAGTGTAAATTTTATGGTTTCTAGATAAACCAGAGTGCATATATTAGGGAATTCGATTCCTCTCCAGTATTGGAGAGTGTCATTTGGAGACAGAAAGAGGCAAATAAAATTGTGTGTGGGTAGAAAAATACGCTAGGAAATGAAAAGGTGGAGGAAAAAAAAGAAACGGAGAAAATGAAATCTGGAGGAGCACTCCCGTTCATTAGGTTTGTCAATATCATTAAATGCCCTAAATAGGCATGTCTAAATTTGGCAGGCAGTAGCACTATTTCTTCTGGGATCATATTACACCTTCCTTGGTAATGCCCCGCCTGTTGCTGTCATTGCTCTGCTATTGTATGTTGGGTGTTACCAGGTAATATAAGCACAAAACCAATCTTTGGTATCATTACTGTTTTTTTTGTGTATTTGTTTGTGTGAGATATGTTCCTAATGACTAGTATTTTTGAAGTTATCATTTGGTCCGATTGGGTGGCTGATGATCTCAGAGATCTTTCCTTTGCGGGTGAGAGGGAAGGGATTGAGCATTGCAGTTCTTGTGAATTTTGGCCTTAATGCGATTGTGACGTTTGCGTTTTCTCCTATGGAGGTAACTTAAACTGTTTGAGTACACTCAATTATCAATTTCTTGATCTTTGATGATTTCACAAAGACTTGCGGTTATGTGACTGTGCAGGACTTGGTTGGAGCTGGAAATGTGTTCTTCATATTTGGTTTCATAGCCATTGCAGCTGTTATTTTCGTCTTCTTCATTGTTCCGGAGACAAAGGGGCTAACATTGGAGGAGATTGAGGCCAAATATCTCTGTTAAATATTGTCACAGTATAGGCACCACCCGCCTCCACCTATGCACGGCCTCTTACTATGGCATAATATGGTTCTTCTAACGTCTTCTGAGTATAATCTGTTTTTCCTTGTGCATAGGTGTTATGTAAAATGTATTTGAGTATCTAATACAAAACCATTGAAATATCTAGAGGTGATATGATTTATCTGTGGATATTTCCCTATTTGGAACCATTGCAAAGTGAAATGAACTTTCCAGCAATGGCTGTGAAAACGGATGACCCTGGACTGGCAATTTCTGCAGTTTCAGGTGTAGGGGCAAGAACTGAAATTCTAATAGGAATTGGAACCAGACTGGTTCAAGGCCGGGGGGTGGATGCTGGTTCCGGATTCTGTCATCGGACCATTTCTTGGATGCAAATTTGGGCAAAAAGTGACTGGTATTTTGTGCTCCTGGCGTATTGTAAGTAAGATATGGTTTATAACATTTTTTTGTTTCTTTTTTCCTCGGAAAAATCTTAGTTGTAAAACAAAAAGCCTATTTTGTTTCTTTTTTTGTTTCTTTATTTTTTGGGCAATTTCGACAGTTTCAAAAATCCTATTTTCTGAAAACGTAGAAAAATATTTATTCCATTCAACTTGTATTTGGAAAACTAATTTTCACCTAAAAAGAGTCCACTTTTGTAATATGGAACTAATTTAATGTAATTTGTTAAAAATTACCCAAAAAATCTGGATATAAGGTTACATAAAATTTTGGTAGAATAAACAATTAACTTTTAAAAGTATTCTCCCTTTCTCCAATAAAATCTTTACTTTGCCTTTTATGGAGTTTAATGAATGAGTTTTTTCTCTAGTATTACTAAAACGATGTTCATGGAAAAAAGGGTATTTAAAATTTTCAAGAAAGTGACTAAGTAATGCAATAGGAAAAGGGTTTTATTATAAGTTGTCTGTCGCAGACAACTTATAATAAGAGGGCCTCAAATTTACAGACCTGACTAGGCCCTCTTTTTTTTTACGTTAAAACTATTGGAGTACGTTTTATGAAGATTTGAAGGGGTCCAGTTAAAAGTTTAAAAAGGGTGGGGAACCGCTGAACCGGTCTAGAATCGGAAATAGAGGTCTCGATCCGGACCTCCATAATTTCTACAAAGACCATTCAGTCCGGGATTGGAATCGGTCTGATCCTCCACCATACTTGGATAATTGGCATTCATGAAAAAAAGAATGACACCCCATACCAAAAGTCTCTAGGCTAAACAGTTATATGAAAGAATATAAATTGAACTTTTATCTCACTTTGATAGAAAAAGAGTGATGTTTCATTCCAAGTCATTGGAGTTGAACCTGAGACCTCCCCTTGTGACACTCCTTTCCTAGTGTGCTACGCCCCCGGTATAATTGGCCTTGATGAGATGTTATAGAGTGGGTGGAAAATAAGACCTAGCCGGTGTAAAGGCAACGTGAAGGCTACAACGGCAGGTGGTTGAGGTGTGAGAAGTTGAGGGGAGAGTAGGGCTGGTAGGCATGGGAGTTTGTTGCGGCATCGAGATGACTGCAGACCAGCAGGGGCGGGTGTCTGCCGCACTTGTATTGAGATTTTAATATACGGAGTATTAAAGAAGTATGATTTGCACACTTTTTTATTTGTATTCAAAATTGAGCTTATATCTATAGTAATCTATCCCCCAGGCAAAATCTAGGTAATTTTTGAATATATGCATCATTATTTCTTCAAGGAAGTTATATTTTGCTTGACTTACAAAAAGAACATTTTGTAAGTATAAAATATTCTTTTATTAGGATATTTCGATAAAAACATTTGCAAACACCAGACAACACGAGAATTAATGATTCAGTTGACTTTTGGAAGTTATATTTTGTAAATGTAAGTGTAAAATATTCTTTTATTAGGACAATTCGATAAAAACATTTGCAAACACCAGACAACACGAGAATTAATGATTCAGTTGACTTCTGGTCAAACGTTTTTCATTATATTATTTTGGGGCCTTGGGGGCAGAGGTGATAATACTGTAAGGGTACGTTTGGTTCAAGGAATGTTAGATTATCATGAGAATGTTAGATGACCGGGTAGGTTAGATAGACGAGAATGTGATTAATGTGTAACACATTTGTGTTTGGTTACGATTAAAGGAATGTGACATAAAGTTGTTTGGTTGAATCATATCTTATACTCCCTATTGCATATTTGGTGAATTACTTAATTGGCCTTTAAATATTTGTCTCTTAACACATTAAACTTATGACAACCTATAATTAAAGTAATTAAAATTATAGATAAATAAAACATCTTAATAATAATTGAAATGAAAACTAATTGAATAAATAATTCTAAGCAAAATATGTTTATTACACAAATCACAAAGATTATTAGTGAACATTAGTAGCATAAAAGCAAATGAATGTCCTCTTAATGAAGAGGGGTATTTGTGGAATAAAATTAAAAAGCAACAATGAATGTCACAAAACCTAAGGTTTAAGTGGGCTTCACATGAACGGACATGTGATTACTTTTTCATTTTTTGGGAATGTAACATTCCAAAAAAAATCAAACTCGCGAACCACACATGTATCTCACATCCAGGGCATCAGATTCTGACCTGTATAAGATATTCACTCCAACCCTAATAGTATATAGCTTATCCGCTTGTAACACGAACTTCAAATAAGCCCTTTTATTATTTCCAAACCGTCACTTAAATCTCTGCACTAAAAAAAGTATCATATAAATACGTCTACTTTACAAAATGGATCAACTTGACCATTTAATCAACTTTTGACCTGTAATAGCAGATTTTTATTGCTTAAAAATTCTAAAAAATTGTTAAAATTTGAAGAAATATATATATATAAATTGTGATTTTTTTCAGAATATCAAAGTCCATTTGTTTTTTAAATATTTGTATATTCTACATCTAATTAATTTTTTTTAAATTTTTTATTTTTTATTATTTTATTTTCACATTATTTTTTACAATTTTATAATTTTTTTTTTACTTTAGTGGGTTTAAAATTTTATCTATATATATACACTATTTTTTATATTATTATTCGATTATTTATTCAATTTATATAAATTTTTGTAAGACATATTAATAATCCTAATTTAATTTAAAAAAATAACCTGGTATAGCAAGTCAAAGGGTTTGGTTGATTATGTTTTAGTACAGAGGCTTAAGTGACGAATTAGAAATAGTAGAAAAACTTATTTGATCCTTTTTCCTTTTTTTTTTTATATTTCTACAAACTTATTTGACTTCCTGTAAAATATCCAAGAAATATGCATAAAAGTTTATTTTTTTCATGAAAATATTTGAAAAATCATTAAATGCTTATAAAATGTTTTTTACTATTAATATTATATTATTATTATTATATATTACTCCATGTGTCAACTCCGCCATGAGATCATTTTTTTGGTATCATGCTTGTCTTAAGCCAGGATAAAGAAGGAGGGTGTTGTGGTAGGCGCGTGACAGCCAATAGTATCACTTAATCACATCACATGAAATGAATCGAAACATGAATATTGCTACGTACAACTTGGTCATCGCCCGTAAGCGACGTGTCATCCCTCCGCCTGGGGGGTGGTGTCAAATATGCAAGGGCGCGCTACACTTCATAGGTCTGAGTGTGGTGATAAGAATGTTAAGGCTGTTAGGTCGTCGCCCAGAAGCAACGCGCCACTCCAATGCCCAGGGATGGTGTCAAAGATGCAAGGGCATGGTGGGAGGCATGGGCAGAGCTAGGGGTGGGCCAACCTAGGCCATGGCCCACCCCAAATTTTGAAAATGGCTTAATTTTTAAGGTAAAAAATTTCGTGTAGAATTTTTTCTAAAAATATTCTTTGTACCGGCCCAGCCCGGCCCAGTGCTCTGGCTCCGCCCCTGGTGGGAGTCGATGTCGTGTGAAGAAGAGAAGACAGGGTGCTATATTGCGTTTTGGGACATGGAATGTTGGCTCTCTTACGGGAAGATCATCTGAGATAGCTGAGGTTATGAAAAGGAGGAATGTCAGCATAATGTGCATGCAAGAAACTAAGTGCGTTGGAGAAAAGGCACGTGAGGAACAGAAATGGAGTAGGAATTATGGTGGCACATGATTATGTTGAGGATGTGGTAGAAGTCTTCAGGAAGAACGACTGCATCATGAGCATTAAGTTGATTATAGGAGATGAGAGCGTGGCAGTTGTAAGTGCCTAGGCACCACAAGTGAGATTGGATGCATCTATCACTCAACAATTTTGGGAGGATCTTGAGGAGGTGGTGCGATGAGTGCCAAGGGGAGAGAAGTTGGTCATAGGAGGCGACCTCAACGGGCATGTGAGCCCAAGTCGTGATGGTTTTGAGAGTATCCATGGAGGACATGGTTTTGACACTAGAAATGAAGCGGGGAAGAACATTCTGGATTTTGCCTCGACATATGAGTTGGCTGTGATGAACACTCGGTTCAAGAAAAGAGACTCTCACCTTATGACCTATAGAAGTGGAGCTAATAGTACCCAAATTGACTACTTTTTAGTACGAACGACTTGGAGAACTAGCGACACTGATTGTAAGGTTATCCCAAGTGAGAGTGCTGTCACTCAACATAGGATGCTTGTGCTTGATTTTCAAGGTAAAAAGAGAAGGAGGGTTAAGGTACAAGGGGAGCCAAAGATAAAGTGGTGGAGGCTCGAGGGGGATCTCCAACAAACTTTTGCACAAAAAATGTTGGAGTAAGATGTATGGTCCATTGATAATGACACACATGTGGATGATGTGTGGTTATAAATGGAGTCCACCTTTAACAAAATGGCGAAAGAGATACTTGGAGAATCTAAAGGATGTCTACCACCAAAAAAGACACATCTTGATGGAATGATGAGGTAAAACAAGCAATAAGGATCAAAAGGCAATGCTATAAGAAATTGGGAAAAAGTTGGAGCGACAAGAACATAGAGGAGTACAAGGAGGCTAGAAGAAGAGCAAAGAAAGATGTAAAGGAAGCAAGAGAAAAAGTGAACAAAGAATTGTATGCAAAATTGGACTCTAAGGAAGGAGAAAAAGATATTTACAGGCTTGTTCATCTTCGTGACCGTAGGACTCAAGATATCGGAAAAGTTAAATGTGTGAAGGATGTCGATCAAAGGGTACTAATGGAGGATGGGGAGATAAAAGAGAGGTGGAGGTCATACTCTGATACACTATTCAACGGGAACAAACCGCAAGATATCGGTGATTTGACCATACCAGATTGTATGGTAAATTGTGATTTTGTGAGAAGGATCCAAACAATGGAAGTTAAAGAGGCTCTGAGGAAGATGAGACAGAAGAAAGCAGAGGGTCCAGATCTCATACCGATCGAGACTTGGAGAAGTTTGGGAGAGAGGCGTCGAGTGTTTAACAAGTTTCTTCAACATGATTTGGAGAAACAACAAGATGCCAACGAGTTGGAGGAAGAGTACTCTTATCCCCTTATTTAAGAATAAAGGTGATGTACAAGATTGTGTCAACTATCGAGGGATTAAGCTTATGAGTCACACCATGAAACTTTGGGATCGAGTGATTGAGCAAAGACTTCGAAGAACTATGAAGATTTCAGAGAATCAATTCGGTTTTATGCCTGGTTGCTCAACAACTGAGGCCATTCACCTTCTTCGGCAACTTATGGAGAAGTATAGAGACGCTCACAAGGATCTGCATTTGGTGTTCATTGACTTAGAAAAGGCTTATGATAGGGTACCTCAAGAAGTTCTTTGGCGGACCTTAACTAGAAAAGGCATATTACGCAAGTATATCATCATCATCATGGATATGTATGAGGATTGCACTACAAGTGTTCGTACTAGTGTAGGGAGGACTGCAGAGTTCCCTATTAATATCGGAGTCCACCAAGGATCGGCTCTGAGCTCTTTCTTATTTGCCATAGTCATGGATGAACTTACGAAGTCAATTCAAGACGAAATACCGTGGTGCATGATGTTTGCCGACGATATTGTATTGATTGATGAGACTCAATTAGGTCTTATAACAAAGTTGAAAGTATGGCGAGAAACATTGGAGAACAAGGGTTTCAGACTAAGTCGAAGCAAGGCAGAGTACATGGAGTGAAAGTTTGGTGGAGGTAGAAGCAGTGGTAATAGCGGAATTACTCTAGATGGTAAGGAGATACCGATCAGTGATATGTTCTGTTACTTGGACTCCATAATTCAAAAGGATGGTGAGTTAGATGGAGATGTATCACATAGAATCGGAATAGGGTGGATGAAGTGGAAGAGTGCATCAGGACTTCTATACGATAGAGAGGTATGCCGACTAGACTAAAGGGTAAGTTTTATAGGACGACAATTAGGCATGCATTATTGTATGACATAGAGTGTTGGGCGGTGAAACAATGTCACTTTCAAAAGATGAGTGTGGCGGAGATGCGCATGCTGCGTTGATTGCGTGGGCATACTAGGAAAGACCACGTGAGGAATGAGACAATCAGACAAATGGTGGGAGTAGCACCTATTGAAGACAATATGCGGGAGTCGCGCCTACGGTGGTTTGGTCATGTGTGTAGAAGACCGAGTAATGCACCTGTAAGACGAGTTGAGAGGTGTGGAGAAGTGGCAGGGAAGAGAGGGAGAGGAAAGCCCAAACAGACGTGGGTTAGGAGAGTCCGAAATGATATGCTTCTTCTTGGGTTAGATGAGGGTATGACTTTGGAGAGAGCAAAAAGGAGGGCGGGTATTCGTGTGGAGGAGTGATCTCGTATTATCTTTTCCCCTATTTTTTTCCTTGTTTTGTTTAATCCTTTTATCCTTATATATATACTTCGTACATTATTTTTATCCCTGTTCTTTTTTAATTTTTAGGTATAATCATCACTTTTTATATTATCTTTTTCATAATAGCTTATCTTTTCTTCTTCATTTTCTTTCTTTTCCTTGTAGTGGTGATATCATGTATCGATTCATGTTAGCCGACCTCAATATCTTTTGGTACTAAGGTTTGGATTTTGTTGTTGTATTATTCCCTGTGTCCCTAAATAAAATACATTGTTTCCCTTTTGGGTTGTCCCTCTATAAAAGGTTCATTTTCCTTTTTGGCAAACAAAACAGTGTCACCCAATGTCCAAACAATGTCCAACAATATTCCTACTTAGGTTGTGTGCCAGTAAAACCATGCCTTTTTTATAGGAATGTAGGGGGTATATCCTCACTGCATGTATAGGAAGATCAGAAGAAAACCATGCCTTTTTTATAGGAATGTAGGGGGTATATCCTCACTGCATGTATTGGAAGATCAGAAGAACGGTCTCTCGAACTTCATACCATTTTGTAAATGACTAACAAGTGCCGTAACATTTTCAAAAACAAAAAAAAAGTGCCGTAGGAAAACAGACTAAATGACTAAATCAAGTAATCACTACACATTAAAAACAGTCTATTTATCAATCTTCCCTGCCACTGTTATCTTCCACTGCCATTGCACTAAATGACTAAATCAAGTAATGAACAACGCTTTCTACTGGTAGAGCTTACACTGCAGCTACATTACTACAAATAAATAAGTTCTATGTTTGTTCACTTTCAGTTTCTCTACCGTCAACCTCCTCTTCTGAATCCTCTACATCATCCATATCATCGATGGGGATATCTTCTGTACCATAGTTGAATGAAGCTGCCAAATGAGTAAAAACCAGTTGCAATGGTTAGCTCCTTAAAAAAACTTCGTCACAAGGAACCACAAACTGTGTGGAGAAATGAAACCATATCACCATTTACAAAAACAAAAATTTTACTCCGTAAAAATAAGGTTCTATTGCACAACAAGGTGTCATGGTTAATCATTCATTTGACTACTAATCTTATCTTTTACTACGTATTTTGAAAAGGGAGAATATCAAATCTAAAGTACTGCCTTTTCAAACAATCACCTCCAAAACCTTAACCCACAATTTACCAAACTCAAAAGTACTACATGTGTCAATAACTCCAATGTCGTATGTATGTATGTGAGTGTGCATTTACTGGAGTAGTAGTGGAAGAAATGCAATTTGCAAGTATTATTCTAATCAAGTAAACAACCATAAGAGAGTATATTACTAGAAACAAATGAAGCAGGATTTCCAGTAAGTTCCCTTGATTCCGACGTGCCATCAAGAAGATATTCAAGTTCAAGGAGCTGCAATAAAGCTTTAGTTTGGGGATTTCGATAGTGTCCTGGGAATGATTAAGATAGAGTCAGATTGAACCAAAGATAGTACAGTAGGCTTGAAAAAAATATTAACATAAATTTCAAAATATCAACTCCAACAATGGTATGATTCATGAAAGCAGAAAACAAAACGAAGTATCATTCAGAATAGAGATAACAGAAGGAAACCACCATCTTCCCCAAATGAAGATCACAGCATGCAGTTTCTATGTTTTTCATGGTTATACACTTATACATACTTTTGACGTTGTCATACCAAAATAAAATAAAGCACATAAATCTTTTATAATTCTCATGAGCTGTTGAAGTTATCAGGAAGTGAAATCTACTATTTAAAAGAAGAAGAAGAAGAGAGAAATCTAGGTTGTGTTGATAGACAAAATAATATTTCAAATATAGTATCCTCCACATATTTCGTTCTAATAAATTATCAACCCCATCACCTTGATCCAACTATGTTGGAGTTGGTGGCATTCTATTTATAGTGCCAATGAATTGTGTATGATTTGTTAACAGTTCAAATTCATGCAAAAAAGGCATGGTGGCAAGAGTTTTACACAATCTGGATGTCCTAGATGGAATGATCTTTATCATTTTTATCAATGAACTGGACTGGTTATTATAAATTATCCATTTTAGTTCATTTAAATTCCAACTAGGATCAAGTGATACAAAAGAGTGCTAATAATATCCGCTACAATACAGATCATTACCAGAAAAGGAACCACTATCAGAAGGTTGACTAGAATTGTGGCACGGCGCAGTGCGGACAAACTCGAAAGGTTTTGTTCCTGGTTGAAGTTTCTTCCTTACAAAATGGCGACATTCTTGAAGGTCATATCGTGCATTGCTGCAAAGTATTAAGCATAACAATCTTATTCCTTTCACACACCATCGACTCATCACGTCCATAAATCTACTCACCTATAATGTGCACGCCTTTTTGTCAGTGGCAAGATAGAATTAAGCTTCCTTGTAATTGCTAGCCATTCTTCATCATACTGGAGTTCATGTGGCCCAGGGTCTGACTCAATTTCAATAACCTAAGCGTCAAAATAAATCTTATAAGTTAAGATATTATTTTTCAGTAATCTATGAGAAAAATGTAACTGAACATCAATGGTGGAAGAGAGTACTTGCAAAAATTTCCGGCCAGGGAGGCATTTATCAAGAGAGAGAAACTTGGTGGTCGGGCCATCCTCACCGTGTTGAACTAAAGCTGCAAATTTGCAGTGCAGATGAGCAGAAAACCAATAGGATGGCCTCAACTTTTCCAATAATTCTGCAGCAGGTTTACTACCCAGAGTTCTTTCACGAATCTAAAAGCATAATATTAGACATATTCAGCCTTCAACGGGATTGGTTAAAACTAGCAGTGTTGGCAAATAAACACTCAGAAATTCACAACACATGAGTAGCGCATGTGAAAGAAGTAAATGGAAAAACATAAATATACATTACATATCAAAGAATGTACAAGTATTATGACTCAATATTTTCTTCTTAAAGAGAACAAACTGTCATTGATTAATAGATAAAGAAAGTGGATAACAAGAAGTCCCTCGAAGAACGACAACAACAGTAAAAAGAGACATGTAATCTGGAAGGAAACTGTCTTTGAAACATCTGAGGCCCAGAAAAGGCATGTGGTCACACATGACACATCCAGGGGAGTCAGCCATGTGGGCTTTCAGCCCATGTACAAGTGGATAACATTACTCAATTGATCCAATTTCAAATATCCTTCTGTTTGCTTACCTCGTCCTTGAAAAATGGTTTTTGACGAAGTAGACTCTTCACGTCTCCATGATCAGTTATACCCAGGGGCCAGTCATGTGAAAGGAAGATATCAATTGGTTCTTCAACTTGCATAAGCTTATGAACATCATATTCACGAATATGATATATGGATCGAATATCTCGTTCATTATAAGGAAGCTTTTCGAAATGTCCTGCCATAATGAAGTTATAGTAATTTGTCATCCCGAAACGTCAAAAAATTATCATGATGAAACAGCTCGTGGATATATCTGCCTCAAATATGACTTTTATTCTATAAAAAAAGGGAAAAATAATAAAAATACCCCGAACTTTGAAGGGGTGTGAGGTAAACACCCCAAACATGCACATGTAATTTAAATACCTCAAACTTTATATAAAAGTAATTTTTGCACCATCGTCGTCTATTATTTCTTTCAAAAATGTAAATTTATGGGGTAAATTGCACAATTTAAAATAGCAAATTAAAAGTGTTGCAATTATATATAGATTGGGGGTAACATTATTTATTTCAATATGAATTCTAAAATATTTTAAATTATACAATTAACAACATAAATTTACATTTTTGAAGAAAATAATACTTGACTATGGTGCTAAAATAAATTTTTATACAAAGTTTGGGGTATTTAAATTACATATGCAAGTTTGGGGTGCTCATCTCACACCCCTTCAAAGTTTAGGGTATTTTAATTATTTTTCCCTAAAAAATGGCAGAACAGGGCACACACAAATATCAATAAGAAGAAAAAATTAACAATATTGATACCCCATGCTCAACTTCCCATGCTTTAAACCAACAAAGAGAAATGCCAACCAATTTAGTATTTCATATCTACAACTTACCCAGACCATAGTCATTCGACTTATATATTCCAGAGAGGCCCCCAATACGAATATTGCCAAACTTGATTACTCCAGCAAATCCAAGAAAGTATATTTGAGGTGCTGCCCAGCCTCCGTAATATCTGTGACCACATAATAGTATGTCATGGATTGTTGTACATGACAAGGGAAGCACTATAAATAAAATACCTATAAGAATCAATGAAATGGCAGAAAGTTAATAATGCATATAATTATGCACACATAAATATCCCTAAGATGACAAGGGAAGCACTAAACTCAAAATTTAAACTAATAGAGAAAAGCAATAGGAATGGAAAAGTATTTTCAAAATATGAACATGCATGCTCTTTACTTTGTGCATTACCGGAAAACAACATTAATTGGTAAAAATAAACCATAAGAAAAAATTCAACCAGAACAAGACTACAAATGTGTAAACACGTCAACTCACAGCTCCCACAAGTAATTAGAAGCTTCATGATTGCCACCTATGAAAATAGTAGGGAATGGTGCTACTTTCTCTCCTGAGTAATACTTCCAGAAAGAATTCATGGTTCTGTACTTGTGCGGCACATTTAAACTTTCAAGATCCTTCTTGTTCCTAACAGCCTGCTTGTGGAAAGAATATGCTTTCTTTTGTTATGCTTTCATCTTGAATAACCCAAAAACTAGTTCCATACTTAAGTAGCAGAAACCCAAAAAAAAATTGTAACGTTTAAAAGAAACCCCTTTTCAATCCCCCACACCACCCCACAAGTAAACATTAAAGAGATTATATGTATCCACTTATCCAGATTAAGTGACAATAAAAGCAATCAAACAAAGAGGACCCTACAAATATTATCAAGATTCCGTAGATTATTCTTGTGTATTGGTGTTGGCGGTAGGATATAGTCATTGTTCTAAAAACTGGCCTACATGCTAGGAGATGGCGTGGCGCCCCGCTTTGATGCAATCGGCTAGAAAAGTCGATCCGGCGCCTAGGTGGCTAGGCGATGCCTAGGTGGCCCTAAACAGATTGGTTCCTGCTCCAACTTATTTTCTCCGCTCTTTCCTAAAAAAATTGTTTCATCAATAATTATTCTATTCCTAATTTCCTATTAAATTTATTTCCTATAATAGAGAATAAGTTTCAAATGTTTATAATTTTTTTTAAAGACAAAAAAACCCAAACCTCTTATGTTATTTAAACTTTTCTATTGATTATTTTACTATCTGTAATTTTACTACAAAAATATAACGTTCAATAATTATATGAGCTATTTGTATTGTTAAGAATAAAATACTAGTATAAAATAAAGAGTTATACCTAGGTGCCCTAGGGCAGTCTAGGCGCTAAACGACCAGCCAATGCCCAACTTTGACTTTTAGAACATTGGATATAGTAAGCATTTTACTATTATAGTTTTTTTTGGTAAAGCTTCCTAACCTATTATAATATTTGTTCTATACTACTATAGTTGAATTGTCCAAGTGTCACTTTTATATATACTGTCTGTCTGTCTGATAATTAAGATTTGGAAGCAGTGTTATAGTTTAGTGTTGCTTGTAATAAGCATTAAGAAATCAGATGTTCAGATGAGCCTTTAAATAAGACCTCATTCGTGTTTAACTATGTAGCCATTCACATAACTATACTTTCTACTTTTTATTGTTCATACCTGGGTTTCTTTAAAAGTGAACTCTAAACTAGAAATGATGCCTAGAAACCATGAACACCATAAGCTCCAGTGGAGTACATGATCAAATGACACACTATTTAGACCACAACTTCACACAAATAGAGGAACCTCAGCATAGTACACCGGAATTCAGTGTGCTTGAAACTGCCCAGGATTATGTACTCCAATTCATTAGTAATGAATCAAGTAATACACTTTTCTAAAGGTGCAAAGAAAAAGTCAAACCAATCCACCCATTAGTACCTGAAAGTCACCACAGCATATCAGAAGATCAATCTTCATATTCTCCGCATCTTGTAAGTGTAATAAGGTAGCATAAACATTGTCTAGGTCTCCATGCATACATCCTTCTATTGCTATCTTCATCTGTATGACAATGCTAACACAAAGCTAAGAAAATGACTTCAATTGAAAATTAGAAAGTCTAAACAATGTTTGTAATATTATCACAAGAAACATTAATAAACCGGAAACTAAAAGTAGGAAAAAAGGTACAATATGCCGGGGAAATATTTGCAATTGTACACTAGAAGTCTAGAACCCTCGGACTCCAAGGGAGCTCATATAATCTAAGTAGTAGCCCTTTCGGGAAAAAAGAGTCTTCGGATAAAAATATGAGTATATGACAACTTCTAAAATTTTCCAAAGTGACTTTCAAAGACTTTTATACCAGACAGTGCCCAATGCCAGCCAGTATCCACTGTTGGCCAGTCACCGCTGCCAGTGACCACGCCAGTTACCTATTTTCCTGTGACCGCCACAGTGTCCTGTTGCCAGTGCAGCCAGTGACCCGCACCACCGCCGGCTATCAAGTGACACCGCGGCCAATGATGCAGGTGACTGCCGCCGTCCCAACAATGACCCACCCCATCCAACCAGCCCCTATCCAGCCCCCAGACGCCGCACCTTCTCCTGTAACTCACTCCAACGCCGCCAATGATGCAGGATTGCAGGTGACTGCAGCCATCCCAACAATGACCCACCCCATCCAACCAGCCCCTCTCCATCCCCCAGACGCCGCACCTTCTCCTGTAACTCACTCCAACGCCGCCGCACCTCCCATTGCAAGGCCGTAACTCAACCCAGCGCCGCCGCGACCTGTCACACTAGCCAGACCTAAACGCCGACATCGGATATGAAACCCTAGCCTAACCGTAGCACCCGTCGCCTTCACTTAGTCTCTATCGCACACCGCAGTCGCAAAACCCTAACCTGGACCCCGTCGCTTAACCGAGGAAGATGAGAGAGAAGAGGCGAATGTCGAATAGAAAAGGAAGAATAAGATAAGGGAAACGTACCCGCGGAGAAGATGGCGGAGGCGGCGTAGTTGGCGGGCTCGAAGGTGACAATCCTCTGCGAAGGCGGTGTAGTTTGGCGGACTCGAAGGTGACGATCCTCTGCGACGGCAGCGTGCGGGTGAGGGAGGAGATAATGGAGGCAAGGTATATTGGACCTGTTTGGCACTTACTGAGTTACTGGTTAGGGGATTTTAATGGCGGGTGGTAAATTTGGGTAAACTAGATTTTCACCCGTGCGAGGGGATGCGGTTAGTAAGCAATAAATTGTTTGAGAATATATAGAAATGTTGTAATAAACATAGTCACATAGATCAACGTATATATTGTTTCTAACAAACGTAAATGAAGATAAAAAATTACTCCCTCCGTCCCATTTATATTGTCCTGTTTTACCTTTTTGGGAAGTCCCACTTAAATTGTCTCATACCATATTTGGCAAAGTTTGTGTGGTTCTAAATCATTCTTACTTTATTCTTACTTTATCAATTAATATCAATCACACAAACCCACTTTTCTTAATAACTGTGTCACCCTCTTCCGTACCAATATAAATGGGACGGAGGTAGTACAAATTATTATATACTTCCTTGCAAACAACATTGATAGTCTTCTTGATCGATTTTCTGTGATCATCACATATAACAAACTTCAACCCAGACAGGGACATTACTCTTGACTCTTGAGATCGCGATGTAAAGTTGATCGTACGTTAAAACTGGGCAGCGTAAGAAAAACATCAACCCTTTCCAAAGACTATCCCTGGCTCTTACTAATAGTCATCGGAATTCTCTAGTGCTCTATGACTTGAAGTTTTAACTTTATTTTTCAGTAAAATGGAGCCAAAAATATGATAGACTGGTCTCCATCATGGCGTAAATTTGTCCCTCTTCATTCTAAGTTTTCAACAATTGAATAAGTGATTAATATCGACTTCTAAAAAGGTTAAAAGGAAACTGAAATTTTAACAAAAAATGTCCTTGCATACGAATATGCTCATTGACCTATTGTCGTACATATGATGTTAAATTAGATATCATTTTCTTTTCACTATATGTGGCATTTACACATTTACCACATTTGTATGACAATTATCAAGAATGTTCAGGTCTGAACGTTTGGACGGGAGCCTCCGTCCGAACACCGTCGTTTGGGGAGGTTCCCGGTGGAATTTTTTGATGAAATGTTTTGAGCATGTTCCTCATCAAGTCTAGTTTGTCCATACCAAATTTCAGCTCAAAATTCGATCGTGAAGGCATTTAAATCATTTTTTGAAGTTGACTGCATTTTTATATGTATATTTAGACGCAATCAACTTCAAAAAATGATTTGAATGCCTTCCCGATCGAATTTTGAGCTGAAATTTGGTATGGACAAACTAGACTTGATCAGGAACATGCTCAAAAAAATTCATCAAAAAATTCCACCGGGAAGTGCCCCAAATGGCCATGTTCGGACGGCGTTCGGACCGGGGGCTGCTGGACAAGATCATTCCTCTTACAATTATAGTCGTTAGTTGTATGCATATAAAGTCATATTAAACTTAAAATTCTATAAAATCATCTTTTTTAGTCAATTAGCAAGAGAAATGATTCTAACACCTTCCGAAAGGTTCACGTTCATGTAGTAGTTTGCGCATGCGCCGATGTGCACATTTATATGACACTGGATTTATAGTAGATATACTATCTGGATACATATAGATAACGAATATATGAAAATCCAGAAAGTACAACGTGAAGCCAATAGAAGTAATCCAGACTTGAGCGGTTCAAGTTGTCTGAAAACCAACTTTCTCCATCATCATCTTTACCAATGGAGATGAGAAAGCCGCTTAGGAAGCTGCCAATGCCAAATATACATACTGGGGTATCAAACACCACATCGGAAATGCCAACTATTACACATATAGAGGTATCAGCCATCACAACCTGCACTGTTGAGAAGTTTCACTCAGATGTACAATTACTCTTCCGATTCCTAAATGGGTTGAAAAACACAAAATCAGAAAAAAGTGATATCAAATGGTTGTTTTGTTATTAATGTTTTGTGATTGTAATTTATTTTGATTTCAATTTTTTTTTAGTTTTTTTCAAGTAGTAGTAAACTTAACATTCTTCTAAAATAAAATATCTTATTTTAAGCCTCTATCCAATAAAAATTAAATGCTGGTAAAGTAAAGTTAAATATGGAGCTAATAATTAACACAATAGTCAGTCATCAGGAAAATACAAAAACACATTATTTAAAAAGGAGCATAGAATGTATTGATGAACTATTAATAATGTCAAAAAAATTTTTATTGAACTTTATTAACAAACTCAGAATAAAAAAATAGGGTAAAATTACAAAATCACATAACTAAAACTAAAGATTTATTTGAGCAAAAATATGGTAAAAGTAACAAAATCCCATAACTCCATAAGTATTTATAGATTTAATTTAACAAATATGATAATAAAGAATTAAAACTACAAATAGAGACTATGAATTCCAATCTAGAATAAAAATGATAACACAATACTGAAATCCAAATAAAATTTGATGAAATGCAGGTTAAATGTCATGCCGGTTAGTTAAGGATGCATATTCCTCCCTGAACATCAAAATGTGACCAACAGCAAGTTCTGCATTTAGATTACAATAAATCCTCAAAAGTTGTCATACTGAAAATCTCAGAAGTAACTATAAATAATAACTACATAAAAGAGAATGGAAAGAAGCAATGTCTGCGTGAAAAGAGGCCTGAACCTTGACTCTGATAGGCAACATCCATTGATTAAATATGAAACTAATTGTGATTGGATAAATAGGCCAGGATTTAAGTGCATATTTGAAATGAATTCTGTTAAATAAATCAAAATAGATCTTCACTTTTCAAAACATAATAAAAGTAAAACATATTAGGGTAAGAACTCAGAAGGCGAGATTGCTCAAGGATTAAGAGTGAATCGAATGGCTGACCTGGAAAAAATCATGAGTATATTTAAGGTTCCCGATATGTGTGGTGCTACCTCCGCTAATTGATCAAAGCAGCTAATTCATCTCCCTTTCTTCTGCATCTTAATTTCCTCCACATTTTCCTTAATTTCTTCCCCTAGCATTTGATGAGTTCCAAAAGGATACTAAAAGCATTAAAATGAAATGTTGCAGAGAGGGCTTTATTCTTATGAGAAAATGAGCATATAGTAGAACTGATTGAACTGAAACGACATGCTACTTTACCTATAATCTATCATCTTTCAAGCATTAGAGAGAAATATGAAGTCTCGCTGGAATCAAACAATCCATGGGCTAACCTCCAATGTCCGGAAAAGGTTCCTGGAAATGGATGCCGAGCTTTTTGAGGAGTGTCAACATTATTTACAAATTAAAATGTTCTAGGCCTATATATGATAATCGATAATAAATTGAGTACCAAGATCAGTTTTGTTGATATATGATATGTTCATCAAAACCAAACTAAAATGTTGATATGCCCATCAAAACACAAAAATCACCATATCAAGTATATAATGCCTCAAAGTTATAACATTGCTTGACAATCTGACATATTATCATTTTAATCCATTTTTTTAACCTGATCAATGTTTGATTAGAATTCAGAATAGATTCGATCAAGGTTGTCAGAGTCGTGCGCCTGAGCGCTTAAGCGCACCAGGCGCAGTGCTAGGGATCACCAGCGCCCTAAACATGGCAAGTCGCAGCATCCCTTGCCAGGCGCAGGTAAGGCGCAAGAAGCGCAGAAGCGCAGAAGCGCAGAAGCGATATTAAGCGATCACATAAGGCGCCTGACAGGGGATATTTTATTTCCGGGTTTACTGAATTATTTTCACCTGGGCAGTCAAACAAGACCATTAAGAAGCCCACGTTTTAACAAAGCCCAAGTAAATAAGGTCAAAACAACTTAATAACCTATGGTAAACACATAAAGTAAACATCCTCCTGCTCCGCTCCTGCTCTGCTCTACTGTACCTGCTTTCTACATCCTCCTTTCCCTCCACATCAACCGCAGCTTGCAGCAGCCCAGAACTCACCGATCAAAGTAAGTTTTCCTCCTTCATCTTCCATTTTATTTATTTTTTCATTTTTCAGCAGCTACTTCTTTTTGTGTATGTACGTGTAAAGTGTAAAGTACATGTGTAAACATGTATAAACAACTTAAACATGTATAAACAACCTCCAGCATGTCTAAACAACTTAAACATGTATGTTTCAGCACGTATGTTTTAGTTAGTCAATTCATTTTTTTTGTTCATGTATGTTTCAGCATGTATGTTTCAGCATGGTAAACTTCTTGTTCTTGTTCAATAAATTTATTTCAGTTCATCAGTATGTTTCAGCATGTATGCAGGGGCAGATGTATATGTTGCTTAATGGGGGCACGTGCCCCCAATAAAATCATCAGTTTTTAACCTAAATAAATTGTAAAATGTTATTGTATACATGTGTGCCCCCAATGAAAATAAAATGATGCCCCCACTATGTACACCAGGCCGTTTAATTTAGAAAGCCCAAGCGCACTTTTACTTTGTCAACCGAAGAAATGATCTGTTCTGGACATATTTTCCCATTGTTAATTCGATTTTTAGCTTTGTGATATTTCGTAAGATTTTATCCATGTTTATAGTGGTCTGGTGTCATTTTAAGAAGTGAGGCTCCAAAGTGATTAAATAGGCGATTCATTCTTTTATTAGGAGATTAGTTGATGGTTTAAAATTGATCTAATTATTTTCTTACTATCAATATTAATATATTGGTTATAGCATGTTTGTAATTTGATGTACATTTAAATATATATATATATATATATATATATACACACATTGCCCCATATCAAATGGTCGGACCAAATAGTATTTTTTTCTAAATCCGTCACTGCATTGAGAGCCCATTTGGACATTTGGTAATACCAAAGCGGGTAGATTCGTCTGGTTCTGTTGAAACTTATGAAATTTTGGTTGAAAAGGTGTGATTGGCTTATTATGTCGATTTATAAAAAATTATATTTAAAACATATTTTCTTAATAATTAAATTTAAAAATAAATGAAAACAGCTAAAATGGTGTTCTACAATAACATCAACTAATACAGCTAGAAAAGTAAACTTCAACCTTACTTTTTCTTATTATTATGCAACTTAATGTTTGAAATCAAAAGTTGCATGTTTGGTGAAAAATTTGGCAATCAATAAGTCCAAAAATAAAGTCACAAAACGAGTTCTGAATAATATTTTAAGCTATCATTCAGTGAAAGCATGCCCCCAATAATTTTTCATCCTGGATCCGCCACTGCATGTATGTTTGAGTTAGTCAGTTCATTTTTTTTTACTTTTTAGTATGTTTCAGCATGTTTATCAGTTAGTAATGTTTATGGGAGGACCTATAAAGCATGTATGTTTCAGTTAGGGGAGGACCTATAAAGCATGTATGTTTTACCAGTTTGAGTAATGCCTATAAATAGCTATAAAGCATGTATGCTATTTTTATGAATAGCTGAAACATAAGTTTGAGTAATGTGTCTGCCAGGGGAGGACCTATAAAGCATGTATGTAAGTATGTTTCAGTTGGTATGTTATAAAGCATGTATGCTATTTTTATCAATAGCTGAAACATAAGTTTGAGTAATGCGCCTGCCAGGGGAGGACCTATAAAGCATGTATGTTATCAGTTAGTATGATTCAGTTAGTAACTTAATATTTTTTTACAGTTAGTATGTTTCAGTTAAAAAGTAATTTTTTTTATATATTGCATATATGATATCTGGCTTGTGTAATTTTTACAGGACATGGAAGGTGGAACTTCAGCCACGGCTTCTGAAGCTGCTAAGTCAACAAAAAATGACCCGGCTTGGAAACACAATTATTGTTCTTACCCAAACAATCAAAATGCAGTAACTTGCATCTACTGTGGAAAGGAAACAAATGGGGGGATATACAGGGCAAAACTAAAATCTAATTATGTTTTATTTTCTAGTTCTAGTGTTTAAGACTTTAAGTGAATCATGAGTCATGACTTTATTTTGGTTAATCACTTAATCGTGACTTTATTTTGGTCAATCGTGACTTTATTTTGGTGAAGCATGACTTTATTTGTAAGAAACATGACTTTTTAATGTATTTCCTTCAATATGGTGAACTGGTACATCATCTTTGATTGTTGGAGAGTAGTATGTGTTATTTTTCTAAGCATTGCGCCTGAGACGAGTCAGGCGAGCGCTTTTTTGCGCCTTGCGCCTCAGGCGCTGGGATTACCTCGTCGCCTTGAGTGCGACTAACGCCTTTGACTACCTTGGATTCGATAGAACAAAGTTGGAATCATACAATTTTAAATCCTTAATAGTTCATCTACTATCTTATATAAAACTGATATGAGTAAGTTAGTTTTAACTTCACCACTTTACTGAATTAAAATGAATAGAAACAAACCAAAGTACCAAACACACACTTAACACACAAAAACTAAAATCCAGTTGATCAAACAGTTTCATCAGCTACTGTTAGATTTCTTGAGCACCCACATAAAAGCTTTAGACAGAGACTATCACTTATATAGTAGAGGTATACTTTCAATTTCAAATTGAATTTTGATTATATCTGTGTATTTCCAAACTTATAGTATTTCTAATTTAGAGAGAGTCCACTCATAAAAAAAATTCAGGGCATAAAGGTACAATAAGAAGTGGTGATGTGCAGGTATACACATGAAAAAGATGACAACTTTTCTACATTATATTAAGCGTTGTTAGAACACAATGAATAATTTAGGAAAAGATAATGTGAAGAAATGAATTAGTGAAATTTCTAAGGAAAAAATGTTGAGATGATTTAGTTACTGAATTCATGGCCACTCTTACTGCAGCAGCTTAACTCACTCTTAATATCTAAGTTGATATATCATATTATTATATGCAAATTGGGGTTTGCAGTTCAATAAAACTTTTACTGTACACAGTTTTTAAAATTTTAATACTACGTATGTATTTTGATTATTATTAATACTAATGTGAGTACAGACACATTAGTCAAACCAAACACATATTTAACACACAAAAACTAAAATGTACTTCCCAGAATCCCAGTTATGTTTGTTCATTATGATCTTTTAAAAGCATATAAAATAGCATAGAGCTAAGATAGCAACCAACAATATCAAATGCAAGAAGAGGAAAAACATTAAGTTACTTTTCTATATGCACCAAAGAACCATTTTCCTATTTTCCATTGAGACAACAGAAAGAAAAAATGCAGAAGAGCAAAGAACCTAAACTCTTCTTCTTAGTTCCTAAGCAATTACTCAGCAAAAAAGTTAACATAACACACCTTAAAAAAGTTAACATAACACACCTTAAAAAAGTTAGCGGCTAAGACAATCTGAAACTTTGGATAGAAAATCAAGCTTAGGGTTATAGTGATCTAATAATACTTCCAAGTAGAGGTTGACATACTTGGTAGTTGGGTTAGATAATTTAGAAAATTGGGTTAGAAAATTGGGTGGAGAAATGTGATACTTAAGAGTATCACATTTCAAAAAAAGTATAGAAAATTTGATAATGAACTGCATTATAGTGATCTAATAATACTTCCAAGTAGAGGTTGACCTACTTGGTAGTTGGGTTAGATAATTTATTTAATTGGGTTAGAAAATTGGGTAAAGAAATGTGTTCACATCTTCGAAAACTGTTCTTCCCTGTCTACTGCAATTATACATGTTCAAAGTTTTGTCATTATTCAATGATATGTAAAAGTGATTCAAGTTTCTTGGTTCAAGAACTACTACATAGTAATCAGAAGTGGATTTTGCCCTGCACAAGGTTGACCTATGTATGCTTATAAACAATTTATCATATTTGTAGATTCATTTTTTAATGATAGAATGATTTCTGGTCCATTTTTGGACCAACATTTTCAACTATAAACTAAATGATATTAGAGTGATGCCTATAGAAAGTACATTTAATACCTAGCGGTTATAAACATAAGTTCAAAGAACAAAGCATAGATATCCAAATAAAAATCAAGAAAGCTCAAAGAGATCTATTTTATCAAGCAAAAAAGTAATTAAGAATGTTTTAATCAATTTAATTTCTCTATACATTTCCCGGTAGCAAGAAATGTGTTGTTTATATGCAGTTTCCATTCCACTACATTTGTACACATTTAACTCATAGCTTAAGATGCTATGTTGCAATAGTTAGTTGTCTAGAAAAATGTGATGTATGGATCCTATTTTACCATGCAAAAGCTTAACAAATGTAGTGATATGCAGAAGCACAGAGGGGTAAAGGGGGCCCTGTGACTGAGGCTTCAAAAATGTGTATTTCAAATCTAAACATATATATAGTTCACCACAACCAATACAATATCATACTTTAAACATCAATGATTCTGATGTTAAATTAGAAGTTCCTGCATAACTGAGATTCTGACATAATTATGGCCAAGCAAAAGTTCCAATGACCACTACCGAACCAAAAATAATTTATAGATTGTAAGAAAACTGAGATCTAAAAAGATCAATTTAAATTGACTTTTAACAAATGTAGTGATATGCGAAATCACAAACAGACGATTAAACAAATTTAATGGTTTATATTTATAGTCATCATTCATGAAAAACCATTGTCAAATGTAGTGATATGCAGAGTCAAAAAATTTCAAAAACTTGAATCACTTTAAATATCATTGAATAACAGTAAACTTTATAAACTGGGGTAATGAGGCGGATAGTTCCATCGTTGGTTGAATCAATAAAAATATTACTAAAATTGACAGAATTAATTAATAAAATCAATAAAAATTAATCAATAAAAAATGTACCTTGCTGAGCGACGGAGATGGCCATGGCGGCATCTTAGGATTAGAGGAAGGACTAATCGATTCGTTTCTGAGAGGGAGAGAGAGATGAAGGCCTTCGAAGTCCGCTCCTGATTCAACTGTGATTTCGGCATATTGGGATTAGATGAAGGTGTCAGCTTCCGATCCCTTTGCAATTTCGGAGAGATGAAGGCCTTCTCCGGCTCCCGATTCATCTGCGATTTCGGCACCATAGATTAGCTCAAGCTTCGCACGATCTTGGATTTGAGAGATCTGCGATTTGAGTATAAGGTCTTCAATGGTGTCGATGATAAATGAGAAATTGAGATTGGATATGGAGAGGATGGAACGAAATAATTTAAGCCGCAAGATCTAAAAATGAATCGTGCGGCTAAAGTGGCTTTTGGGATGAGCAGGAAATGACTTTTTTGTAAAAGTAGTGAAATTATGTAGAGTGATTAGCAGTTTTCTTATAGCGTTTAGTACGAAAAAAAGACTAAAAGGATATTATAAAAGTTTTTAAAGAAGAAATATGCTTAAATTGATAACACATCATCCAGATAATACGTAATCCGACAAAAAGATTCATGACAACCGTCATCCCGCGAACCAGGCTCAGAGTTAATCACCACAAAAGAAGCAATATAACTCGTTGATCCATTAATGAGCACAAAATAGCCAAAGATGGTTACCTCAATCATTTTATCATTCCATCACCTATATTCAAATTCACCGTCTTACAAACAGGAAAAACAAAAGCAAAACAGACCACGAAACTCGATAACATATCCAAATAAATTGTCATAACATAAAAAAATAACGCAGATAAACTCGATATGCTGTCCGAGCTTGCCGAACTGCACAAGCACCCAAATCTTCTTAGGCGGATCTACTCGTTGAAGCCCGCACCTTCCCCGTTTTTTGTCCCATCCAGAGACATGATATCCTCTCCAATCTTGTCTTCCCCTGGGCTTCCCAAATCCTTCTTCTCTTTTGTTCCCCTAATATTTCCTCCTTCGTTTCCGCTCTCACGCCTTTAGTTATACTCTGCGCTAATTCTGAAATAGACTCTTTCCCCCCTCCATCCTGCCTCCCATCAGACTTGATGTCCCTTACATACCTGCGGTCTCTGCCAGAGCTCGATGAACCCTCCAGTAGCCACTTCCTTCCTCCTGTGGGATTGGTCTTCACCCCGCTACCTGCTCTAAGCTGAATCCCAATTTTTTTTTCCAGAACTATATCTTCTTCATAATTTAACGGGCAAAATTTATCTGAATGCCCAATTAAACCGCATATAAAACAGAAATTGGGCAACTTCTCATACTTGAAGTCCACCCAATAACTCTTTCCTTCTTTTTTCAGATTGGTACCCTTTTTCAGAGGCTTATCTACATTCATGCACACCGTGATTCTCATATAAGACTCTCACTTTTCACTATTCTGATTATCATCATATTTTATAAATTTTCCAATAAAATTTTCAACCCGTCTTGCAGTACCTAGGTTTACTAGGCTATAGGGAACATTGTGGATCTGAACCCAAAAATTAGCCTCATTTAAAACAATCTTGTGCGAAATATCACCAGGCTTAACCTCTTTCAACAACAACTGATTATGCTCAAATTGTCATGGACCTCCATCAAGCACATGATTCATATCAACACGATGATAGAAAGTAAAAAGGTACCTTTTTCACCAACTTCTTTAATCAAAATTCCTTTCCCCGCCTCCATAGCGAGGACATGAGTTCCTTGAGAGCTGGAAATCTGACCTTCCTGTCTGTCAGCGGCACTCTCAATGATGTGAGTTTTCTCGCACTTAAAATAGATAGTAGTATAGGGTGTAAGTACGAGTATCGTCTCCACAGGGACGAAAAAAGGAATCAATAATTAATTAAATTCAGCGATTAAAACTAAATGAAATAAATGCGTCGTGCGAGATTAATTGGTTTGAGAATTAAACTAATGCGAATGAACGAATAAAATAATGGGGTCTCTCTAATTAATGATGAAGGGAACAAGGATTGATTCCGGTGTAACCAGATTTCTGGCGGATCAAGCTTAGTTACATGAAATTAATTTAAGTGAACCTAGCTAATCATTACTAAGTTCTTACCGCTCTCGCGGCGTAGAGTACAATAATTCTAAGGGACCAGGCTGATCTCTCATGCGATAGGTATCTAAATGATTGCCAAAACGAGCGAGCTTACGGCCCCTTAATCGCCACTAATCTCTTAGCGAACGATTAAGTGTGTGTGAAGGTGTCCTAGAATAAATTAGATCTCTCTTAAGTTATTCTATGTGCAATTATAATCCTAGCAGCTGTTCCCATGACTTAGTTGATTACATTATCTTAAATTAATTCCGCTCCCGCGGTAATTGTATTAAGACAGTAAAAAGTACAAAATCAATTTATCCTAAATTCCTTAACACTTCCGTGTTAATAATTTAGTGGGTGAATTAACTAAATGGATTTTAATGAAATTTCACTCCCGTGATAATATTCATTTCCAATATTAATGTATTTAGCAGATTAGAGTATTCAACCCTACACTCCTAAAATTAACCAATTACTACGTGATAATTTTAACCAATTATTGTCATATGAACATTGATAGTAAAAATTACATCCTGTCCAAACCTAAACTAATGTAGTTACACATAATTACAGTAAAAGAAATAAAAGTGAAAAATCATACTAGGAATAATTAATTTAACAGAATAGAGAATGTAAAATGAGTATTTTGATAAGAACATGAAGGCATAAATAATCATGGATGAGCTGAAACAGAGACAATGAAATCCTTATGCTGAAAATGATTCTGGTTGATACTTCCCAAATGAACTTAATTGTTGAAATATAAAGAACTAAAATTCTGGAAATGGAAATTACAAACTGAACTTTACGGAAAGTGTTCTTGAAGGAAGTATCACTTTTATTTTACAACTACTACTATGAACAAAGCTAAAGAAAGGAAGAGATTTCTCACTCAATTTGTCTGTTCTTTGCAGCTCCGAATGGCTCTTTATAAAGTAGCCGAAGAAGGGGCTAAAGCATAAAAACCCTGAAATGAAGATCCTAATAAATAATTATTTTGCTGTGATATTACTTTAGTCTTCATCAGGTGCGATTGCCCGACTCTCAATTTCTTTGTGTGAATAGTGACACTCCTGTTCCGTGTGTGAATAGTGTCACTCATGTTCCGCTGTATTTTTCCCCCGTTGCTATCTTGTTGCTACTGTTCTCGGTGATGGCCGATTGAAGGTGATGAAGATCACTTTGATTTTATTTTCTTAGCTTGCAGTTTGTAGTTCCCTCCAATCAATGAAATGAATTTGGATTTCTTGCCTCTTTCCTTCTTGGGAGCTTTTACGTGGCTGGAGTCTCCAATCACTCAAAAGAGTGAATAGTACTTGTCAACCGAAGTCTTGGCTCTTATCCGATGCATTATTTGGCCGGTTGACTGTTTGATCACTTAACTGGTCAGCAGTTGTAACAACCCCATTTTTCCCACCAAAATAAAATAACATTTTGAAATGAAAACATCTTTATTATAAAACATATTTAGAGTACATCGGAAGTCTTTGATGGAAAAACAGGTGTGTCACCGCCACACTCAACCTATACATGATTGAGTGCACAGGCTATCAACCATTAATTCAAGTAGTCATCAAATAAAACTTAAACAAAGTTTATGGATTACAAATTTAAACAACAATAATTAATCAAACGTGTGCAACTAGCGGAACACTCGGGCAGCAAGTACATCAATCTTCATAATCATAATCATCTGTACAATAGAGCAAAGAGAAAAAGAGAAAAGAGACAAAAATTAGCTTTAGAGCTAAGTAAGATTCCACCCGAACCCGTAAAATAATATAATTTGGAAAATAGGTTTTTATATATGTATATATATCGAAAAGTAGTCTCTCATATTTCCAAAATGGTTTAATGTCATAAAATAATTTCCACAATAGATAAGATCATCCTTCAATTCCTCTAAAAGTAATACTTTAGATTCTTTTAAGAGTGGGCGAAACTCAAGATTCCTCGAGCCCAATGAGTCGTTGTTATCTACGACTCATCCCGGAATTCCGGCTCCCACCGACCACCAATTGGAAGCTGAATTTCTATCTTAAGTGTGCACACCCTCTAAAAGGGATTCCAAGCCCTCCGAGTAGTAAGAAACCCAAGTAGGCGGGATGTTTTCTACCACCTACTCACAAGGGACATTGTCCAAGGGTAAATTAGGTAACTACTACTACGACCACCAAAGGATCTTTGATCCTCAAATAAAAGCCCGGGATGTCTACCGGAGTATGTCATTGCCGGACTGGTTACCGACCCAAATAAATTTCTCCAAAAGTAGTAGTAGCCCTAACCACCCACGCCTCGTGTTTCTCTCGAGACGTAAGAATATATATTATGAAAACTTTAAGTTTTCCCCAAATCATTCTTGTCACATTTTCTCAAAAATATCCTTTGTAATAAATATAAATCCACCAATATTCTTTAATAAAAAGAATATACATATAATCATCCATAAAAGGTAATAATCCACCAATATTTATATAGTCAAAATATTCTATCCATGTCAAACATATAATTTCCAATTCATAAATAATTCACATAGTGCAAATATTGCATACATATAAGTACGAGGCAAAACATTTTGGTTGACATAGAACTTACCTTAAATTGCGATAATCTCCTTAATAAAATCTCTAGCTTGATCTTCACTTGAATTCTCCTTCTAATATTGATCAAAATTCTAAATCAATAACTATTCTATTATTTCGTTATTTCTTTTATATCCAACCTTTAATTACTTTAACTTCATAATTCCTTCTTTAAATATAAATATTAAATTAATAAATCTTACTAACTGTTTATTTCCAGTTCATTCTTATTATTTTCTTTAATTATAATAACCCAACTCGGTTTTTCTTAATTTGTTTGGTTAAATAGTTTACTAGTCCAATTATATTAACTACATAATAATTTCATTATTTCGAATTTAAATAATCAATTTCAGTTCAAAATTCAGTTTACATAATTTATATAATTTATTTAATAACCCTTTTAATAATAACTTGACTTAGGCAATAATTCGAAATAATAATCATTAATGATAATCTAATCTCAATAACAACTTTAATTAGTTCAATAGTTTATTTATACTAACTAACCCAATTAAATTAATTTATCCAATCCTCCAGTTTTATTTATTTGACTCACTAATTTAATTGAACTAACTAAATCAAATAAATAAGTTTAATTATATCAATATAGCTAAATACGTTAATCTAATTCAATTAAGTCCAATAATCAAATTCTAATCTCGTTTTAATTTTCTATTTTTAATATAAAGTCCAGAAATGTTATCAAGTCTATAAATTAACTAATTTATCCATTAAACTAATTGATTTAGTTAAACTAGTCCAATGAAGTCAATTAACTAACTTATTAAGTACACATTACTTAATTAATTTGTTTATATTCATCAACTAATTTTTTATGAGTTCAAATAGTTTAATAATTTATATGGAGTCCAAATCACTAATAATCAAGGATAATAATTATTAATTTAATCACGCTAATTTAATTAGTCAACTAATTCAATAATTTATTTATTAAGTCCAAATATAGTCATTCATTTATAACCCAACTTTATTTTCTTTTCCTTATTTTATTACAAACATCATTTTAAGTCCAGAACATTATTTTCAATCTTAGTGATTTATTTATTTCACCATTAATATCAAAATTTCCTTATTTAATTACTTAACTAGTTTATATGGCTCAATTAAATTAAATAACTTAATCATCACTTTTATAAATTACTAATCATCCATAACTATATTTTGGGTCTATACTTGACCTAGGTTGTCCAGATATTTATTTTAGAATTATTTCCTTTATTTATTCATTTAATTTCTTATATCTATTAACCGGTTTAATTACAATTAAATATGCAAATTATAATTTTTATTAATTATAAATGGTCCCAAATGTCCTAGTTAGTCATATATTTAATCTAGCTTGCTCCCATATTTATTTCATAATTATTTTCGTCATTTAGTTAATTATTTACTAAATGTGTACAACTTGGCCCAATTACAATTAAATCAATTAAAAATAGTTACAAATATTATTTTTCAATTATTCTTGGTCCGAATATGTATTTTTATACCAGGTATTTAATTTATATTTTTCCAGATTTTATTTATTTCATTTACTATTTTATTTTAAATTTTTTATTGAAAACGGGCCGAACCGGCCCAAATTCGCGACCCGGCCCAAGAAGACTGGGTTGTCTCCTTCCCAGCTCTTCTCCAGGTCGCGATTCCGGCGACCGGAATCCCGAAAACTCCGGCGAGCGATAACTTTACTTACAGGTAACGGATTTCGACGATTCCAGTTGCAAAATGATCCTCACGTCGAGGAGAAGCTCCGCCACCCCTATCTACGGCAAAATCGTGTCTTTTCTAAAGACCCGTTTCCACGGCTTGCAACTCCGGCGACCTCTAGGAAACTCCGGTGACTACGAATCGGTCTGGAATTTATTGGGAAGTATTCCTAGACCTCTCACGACCCTCCTCTATCGTTTTTATGAAGTTTGATACGTAAAATATTATAGGCATAAATTTTCCGGCGAGATTATGTATATATATGTATATATAGCTTCTATATCTCCGATTTGCAGTGTTTAGGATGGCTAAGAGGGTGTATTTATAGGTCTAGATGGTCCTTATGGTTTATTTTATTTATTTGATAATTGTATGAATAATAATAATAATAATAATAATAATAATAAAAATAATAATGTCTATACATAATGATAGGTTGGTAGTTGATGAACATGGCATGTGTATTGATCCCTGATTTGATTCCCATTTATATTGATGTTTCATTTTATTTTATTTTATTATTATTATTTTTAATTACTTAAATGTATTTTGAGTTTTACATATAAATATATGTACATAATGTATATACATTATTTGGTAGATGATCTTAGCATGTGTCATTGTTTTATGATATGATATTTTCATTTATTAATTTGATGCTATTATTAGTAATTTATAATATTCTTACTATTTTTATTTATTTATTTATTTATTTACTTATTATGTCACCTATATTTTATCTGATTTATTTCCATTTTTTTTTTCGATGCTACATAAGTGTTTAATTCTATTGCATGTAGTGTGCGTATATTTTTATACACCAAAAAAATATTTTGATCTTACTTTCATTTGATTTATCAGATATAACTTATCTGATTTATTTATTTATTTTTATTTCAAATTTTCAAGGTATCACATTCTACCCTCCTTAAAGAATGCTTCGTCCTCGAAGCATAAACTCAGACGCGAATTAAGTATGAAGATGAAGTATTATAGGTTTATAAGATATGACAACCTGCCCCCCTAAAAGAAAGGTTACGTCCTCGTAACCGAATATTTACCTTAATTGAAAAGTTCAGGATACCGTTTACGCATATCCTCTTCTGTCTCCCATGTTGCATTCTCGGTCAAATGGTTTGACCAAAGTACTTTTACCATCTTAACTGTCTTCTTCCTTGTCTCTCGGGTCTTAGTATCGAGAATCTCTATGGGTTTTTCTTCGTAGGATAATGTCTCATCCATTTCAATCACCTAATAATATAACGGTTAACTTATATTCTTTTCAATTTACGTTTGGCTCATGTTAAGTCTAGGATTTCTTACCTCCGGATTGATGATATGTGACTCATCTCGAACATACTTCTTTAATTGTGATACGTGAAAGACGTTATGTACCTAGCATATATCGGTATGTTAAGAATGTATTTTAATCGTAGAGAAGTATTTGATTTCAAATCGGTTGTTACCTTATCCAACTCCGTGGGTAGAGCTAATCGATATGCCACTTTTCCCACCTTCTCTAGGATGTCATAGGGTCCGATGAATCTCGGGCTTAGTTTCCCTTTCTTCCCGAACCTCATTACACCCCTTGTAGGAGAGACTTTGAGTAGAACTTTCTCCCCTAGTTCGAATTCAGCTGGTTTCCTCCCAAGATCGGCATATGATTTCTGTCGGTCTTGGGCAGCCTTCATCCTTTCTTGGATAACTTTGATTTTCTCAATAGTATCCTGCAAGTATTGTGGTCCTAGAACCACCTGATCGACCATGTCACCCCAACATAAGGGACTCCTACACTTTTGACCATATAGAGCTTCGTATGGGGCCATTCCGATGCTAGCATGGTAACTGTTATTGTACGAAAACTCTACCAAGTCTAGGTGTTCATCCCATGATCCTTGCAAATCAAGAACACATGCCCTCAACATGTCTTCTAATGTTTGGATTGTTCTTTCGGTCTGTCCGTCTGTGGTTGGATGGAAAGCAGTACTTAACTTCAATTTTGTTCCCATAGCCATTTGTAATTCTTTCCAAAATTGGGATAAGAATCGTGAATCTCGGTCTGACACGATGTCTTGAGGTACTCCGTGGTGTTTGACCACGTATTTGACGTAGGCTTTCGCCAGTTTCTCCATGCTCCAGGTTTCATTCATAGGAATGAACCTTGCAGTTTTGGTCAATCTATCCACTACCACCCAAATTTTATCTTTCCCGGACTTTGTTAAAGGTAACCCCCCGACAAAGTCCATTGAGATTGAATCCCATTTCCATGTTGGTACTTCCAAGGGTTGCACGAGTCCCTTGGGTTTGCATCTCTCCGCTTTGACTTTTTGGCAGTTCAAACATCGGGATACAAATTCAGCTACTTCTTTCTTCATTCCCGGCCACCAAAAGTTCTTTTTGAGGTCTTTGTATAGTTTGTCTCCCCCGGGATGTACCGAGTAGGGCGTGTTGTGTCCCTCCTCCATGATTTGTTTTTTAATATCTGGACACTTCAGTGGAACACACCACCTTCCCTTGTATCGGATGCTCCCATCTTCATGTACCTTAAATGGTCCGTTGACGCCATCTTTCATTCCTTCCTTGATTCTTTCGAGCTTTACATCTCCCGGTTGTCCGTTCTTGATTTCGTCAAAGATAGATGGTATAACAGTCATAGTACATAACTGTATTTCACCATCTACTTCGCCATATTGCTTTACTTCCAAGCTCAATCTTTGGAAGTCTCGGAATAGTTCTTCTGGTAATATCCATGTTGCTCGGCATGAGTGCTCAGATTTCCGGCTCAAAGCATCCGCCACCACGTTAGCTTTTCCCTCGTGGTATTGGATTTCTAGATCGTAATCGTTGATAAGCTCGAGCCATCTTCTTTGCCTCATGTTAAGCTCTTTTTGAGTGAATATGTACTTCAAGCTTTTGTGGTCAGTGTATATTTTACAATGTGCTCCGTATAGGTAATGTCTCCAGATTTTCAAAGCAAACACTACTGCAGCTAACTCCAGGTCATGGGTAGGATAATTGACTTCATGCACCTTTAGTTGTCTTGATGCATAAGCCACCACTTTCCTATTTTGCATTAGCACACACCCCAACCCCTTCTTGGATGCATCACTATAGATATCAAATCCCTCTGTCCCTGACGGTAGTGTCAAGACCGGCGCAGTTGTGAGTCTTTTCTTCAACTCTTGGAATGCTGCTTCACAATCTTCATTCCATTGGAATTTGGTTGTCTTCTTTGTCAGGTTGGTTAGCGGTCTTGCTATCTTGGAGAAATCTTTAACGAATCTCCTATAGTATCCCGCTAGACCCAAGAAACTTCTTACCTCTGTGACCGAGGTAGGTGCACGCCAGTCAACCACCGCTTCAATCTTCGATGGATCTACGGATACGCCTTCCTGGGTGATGATGTGGCCCAAGAACGCTACCCGATCCTGCCAGAAGTCACACTTTGAGAGTTTGGCATACAACTGGTTCTCTCTCAAAGTTTGTAACGTGAGTCTTAAGTGTTTCTCGTGATCCTCCGGGGTTTTTGAATACACAAGAATATCATCGATGAATACCACCACAAATGTATCAAGATAAGGTCGGAATACACGGTTCATTAGGTCCATGAATACCGCCGGTGCATTTGTTAAACCAAACGGCATCACAGTGAACTCGTAGTGTCCATACCTCGTGCGGAATGCTGTTTTTGGTACATCTTTTTCGGATATTCTCACTTGATGATATCCAGAGCGCAAGTCTATCTTAGAGAACGTGCTAGCCCCCTTCAATTGATCAAACAAGTCGTCAATTCGGGGCAATGGATACATGTTCTTGATAGCTGCTTGATTCAACTCTCGGTAATCGATGCATAGCCTTAGACTCCCATCTTTCTTTTTGACAAATAAGACCGGAGCGCCCCAAGGTGAGACACTCGGTCTTATGTACCCCTTCTCTAACAACTCCTCTAGTTGTTCCTTCAGCTCCTGCATTTCTTTCGGTGCCATTCGGTAAGGTGCTTTTGAAATTGGCGCGGTTCCGGGCATCAACTCAATTGAGAATTCAACTTCTCTCTCGGGCGGCATACCTGGAATCTCTTCCGGAAATACGTCCGGAAATTCATTGACTACGACAATTTGGTCAATGTTTGGTTCCCCTGTATTCACCTCTTTCATAAAGCATAGGTAGGTTTCATACCCCTTTCGGATATGTCGCTTTAATTGTTGCATAGTCATCAGCTTCATACTAGGCTTGGATGTGATTGCTTTGTAAGATATTCGCTTCCCATTTGGACCCTTCAAGATTACCTTCTGTTCATCACAGAGGATCCTGGCTTTGTATTTCCCCAACCAATCCATGCCCAGTACTATGTCTATATCTTTTAAGTCAAATTGGATTAAATCTCCATGTAGGTTGGATTCAGATATGAGTATGGAAATGTTGGAGTATACATTTCCACAAGTTACAAATTTATTTGAGGCGGTTCTTACATTCAAGTCTATTCTAGCCGTTGGTTCAATCTTCAATTTCTTAACGAAACTAGAAGATATGAAACTGTGAGAAGCACCAGAATCAAATAGAACATAAGCAGGCTCAGAATTTACAAGGAATGTACCTGAAACCACATCATTAGCATTGGCTTGGGCCTGATTCATCACCATGATTCGCCCTTGGTTCGGACGGTTGCCGTTGTTTCCGCCGTTGCCATTGTTCCCACCATTGCCATTGCCATGATTATTCTCCCCTCCTCCTCGAGGGTTGCGGTTGTTGTTGGCGGCGGCATTGTTGTTGTTATTTTGTCCTCCATTTGGCCCAGCTTGGTTCATATCTGGCCTTCCTCCATCACGGTATTGCACCTGGTGCACTGGTGCCCCATTGGTCTTTGAGAGACACTCGAAGGTTCGGTGCCCTAGCTTCCCACAATTGAAACATTTTGTCAGGCTTCCATCGCAATTAACACCAGGATGATCTCTCCCGCACCTCTTGCAGTAGAAGTGTCTATCTCTGGGAGCAACTCTTCGATCATTTTGTTGGTTTTGACCGTGGAAATTTCTTCCACCTTGGTTATCTCTCCTCCTCCTCCCTTCTTGTTGCTGTGTAGGTGGGTGCACTCTGACCCTCTTTTCTCCTCGACCTCCATCTTCGTCCCTCTTCATCTTCTGGTTCCTCTCTCTTTGTAGTTGCTGAACTCGATAGTGAACTGCAGCTCTATCATAAGCTTCAGTCAGAGTTTGGCAACCCAAAACAGCGACGATTTTCTGCGTATCATAGTTTAATCCGTAGATAAATTTCTCAACTTTGGTGCTTTCATCAGGCACTATTGTTTTCGCAAATGGCGCGAGGTCCACGAATTTATTGTGGTATTCCTGGACACTCATGCCCATCTGTTTCAAATGTATGAATTCATCACGCATGGTGGCCTGAACGTGTGCAGGATAAAAACGTTTCCTCATGGCAATCTTGAAAGCTTCCCAATTGAAGTCAGGTTGTTGACGTAAAGTTGGGCCTGATGAGACCCACCAGTTATCTGCCTCTTGCTGTAAATAGTAAACAGCAATGTCAACCCTTTGCTCTTCCGGACAGCTCACCGCGTCGAAGAGTTTGTCAAAGAGTCGGAGCCAATTCTCGAGGATACGAGGATCTTCTTGCCCATGAAAGCTTGGAGGGTTGCGAGATGCCACTCGTTTTGCGGCATCATTCCCGTTGTTCTGGTTTTGGTTGTTCTGGAGCACAGTAGCACCCAGTGTGTGCATAAATTGTGCCAGTTGTTGAACGCTTTGTGCCAACTCAGCATTGGTGGGCGTGTTATCAGGGTCTCTTCTCGGTGCCATGATATCTTAATGACATAAAGTATTCGTGTAAGATTTTCTATATTTTACTCCTAAGGATCCTAGTTCAACTAAGGATTCCATAGGCTATGCAACATGATCATATAAAAATGTACATAACAATCATACAGAGGATTCATACTTCACATAAAAGCACTTTCACACATAATGTTTGTACATACCTTAGCCACTTCGGAATTTTGCCTTATGAGGCATTCCCATTTTATCATTTGGGGTTCCCATTTCTCAAATGGGCCCACAATTAGCATAATTATCACATACATGATACATGTAAGGAAAATAAATACTCACAAGGTCCTCACCACGTTCCTAAAAGGCCATTTCCTAGCTATATTATCATTCCTAGTCTTAAAAATATTTGAAAATCTCCCTTTTGAAGGTACAATCTCAAAGGTTTCCTTCAATGATTTTGAACAACGAAGTTTCAGCACAAGGAGAAATTCCCAGGTAGTTGGACGAGCGCAAAGGCTCAATTAAGAACCAACAGCCTTAAACTCTTATCGTCTTGGTGACAGAATTTCTCCATACAACCTATTACCTCGTGTACAAATCCTTTAGGAAAACCTAAGTCTCTGATACCAACTTGTAACACCCGCATTTTTCCCACCAAAATAAAATAACATTTTGAAATGAAAACATCTTTATTATAAAACATATTTAGAGTACAGCGGAAGTCTTTGATGGAAAAACAGGTGTGTCACCGCCACACTCAACCTATACATGATTGAGTGCACATGCTATCCACCATTAATTCAAGTAGTCATCAAATAAAACTTAAACAAAGTTTATGGATTACAAATTTAAACAACAATAATTAATCAAACGTGTGCAACTAGCGGAACACTCGGGCAGCAAGTACATCAATCTTCATAATCATAATCATCTGTACAATAGAGCAAAGAGAAAAAGAGAAAAGAGACAAAAATTAGCTTTAGAGCTAAGTAAGATTCCACCCGAACCCGTAAAATAATATAATTTGGAAAATAGGTTTTTATATATGTATATATATCGAAAAGTAGTCTCTCATATTTCCAAAATGGTTTAATGTCATAAAATAATTTCCACAATAGATAAGATCATCCTTCAATTCCTCTAAAAGTAATACTTTAGATTCTTTTAAGAGTGGGCGAAACTCAAGATTCCTCGAGCCCAATGAGTCGTTGTTATCTACGACTCATCCCGGAATTCCGGCTCCCACCGACCACCAATTGGAAGCTGAATTTCTATCTTAAGTGTGCACACCCTCTAAAAGGGATTCCAAGCCCTCCGAGTAGTAAGAAACCCAAGTAGGCGGGATGTTTTCTACCACCTACTCACAAGGGACATTGTCCAAGGGTAAATTAGGTAACTACTACTACGACCACCAAAGGATCTTTGATCCTCAAATAAAAGCCCGGGATGTCTACCGGAGTATGTCATTGCCGGACTGGTTACCGACCCAAATAAATTTCTCCAAAAGTAGTAGTAGCCCTAACCACCCACGCCTCGTGTTTCTCTCGAGACGTAAGAATATATATTATGAAAACTTTAAGTTTTCCCCAAATCATTCTTGTCACATTTTCTCAAAAATATCCTTTGTAATAAATATAAATCCACCAATATTCTTTAATAAAAAGAATATACATATAATCATCCATAAAAGGTAATAATCCACCAATATTTATATAGTCAAAATATTCTATCCATGTCAAACATATAATTTCCAATTCATAAATAATTCACATAGTGCAAATATTGCATACATATAAGTACGAGGCAAAACATTTTGGTTGACATAGAACTTACCTTAAATTGCGATAATCTCCTTAATAAAATCTCTAGCTTGATCTTCACTTGAATTCTCCTTCTAATATTGATCAAAATTCTAAATCAATAACTATTCTATTATTTCGTTATTTCTTTTATATCCAACCTTTAATTACTTTAACTTCATAATTCCTTCTTTAAATATAAATATTAAATTAATAAATCTTACTAACTGTTTATTTCCAGTTCATTCTTATTATTTTCTTTAATTATAATAACCCAACTCGGTTTTTCTTAATTTGTTTGGTTAAATAGTTTACTAGTCCAATTATATTAACTACATAATAATTTCATTATTTCGAATTTAAATAATCAATTTCAGTTCAAAATTCAGTTTACATAATTTATATAATTTATTTAATAACCCTTTTAATAATAACTTGACTTAGGCAATAATTCGAAATAATAATCATTAATGATAATCTAATCTCAATAACAACTTTAATTAGTTCAATAGTTTATTTATACTAACTAACCCAATTAAATTAATTTATCCAATCCTCCAGTTTTATTTATTTGACTCACTAATTTAATTGAACTAACTAAATCAAATAAATAAGTTTAATTATATCAATATAGCTAAATACGTTAATCTAATTCAATTAAGTCCAATAATCAAATTCTAATCTCGTTTTAATTTTCTATTTTTAATATAAAGTCCAGAAATGTTATCAAGTCTATAAATTAACTAATTTATCCATTAAACTAATTGATTTAGTTAAACTAGTCCAATGAAGTCAATTAACTAACTTATTAAGTACACATTACTTAATTAATTTGTTTATATTCATCAACTAATTTTTTATGAGTTCAAATAGTTTAATAATTTATATGGAGTCCAAATCACTAATAATCAAGGATAATAATTATTAATTTAATCACGCTAATTTAATTAGTCAACTAATTCAATAATTTATTTATTAAGTCCAAATATAGTCATTCATTTATAACCCAACTTTATTTTCTTTTCCTTATTTTATTACAAACATCATTTTAAGTCCAGAACATTATTTTCAATCTTAGTGATTTATTTATTTCACCATTAATATCAAAATTTCCTTATTTAATTACTTAACTAGTTTATATGGCTCAATTAAATTAAATAACTTAATCATCACTTTTATAAATTACTAATCATCCATAACTATATTTTGGGTCTATACTTGACCTAGGTTGTCCAGATATTTATTTTAGAATTATTTCCTTTATTTATTCATTTAATTTCTTATATCTATTAACCGGTTTAATTACAATTAAATATGCAAATTATAATTTTTATTAATTATAAATGGTCCCAAATGTCCTAGTTAGTCATATATTTAATCTAGCTTGCTCCCATATTTATTTCATAATTATTTTCGTCATTTAGTTAATTATTTACTAAATGTGTACAACTTGGCCCAATTACAATTAAATCAATTAAAAATAGTTACAAATATTATTTTTCAATTATTCTTGGTCCGAATATGTATTTTTATACCAGGTATTTAATTTATATTTTTCCAGATTTTATTTATTTCATTTACTATTTTATTTTAAATTTTTTATTGAAAACGGGCCGAACCGGCCCAAATTCGCGACCCGGCCCAAGAAGACTGGGTTGTCTCCTTCCCAGCTCTTCTCCAGGTCGCGATTCCGGCGACCGGAATCCCGAAAACTCCGGCGAGCGATAACTTTACTTACAGGTAACGGATTTCGACGATTCCAGTTGCAAAATGATCCTCACGTCGAGGAGAAGCTCCGCCACCCCTATCTACGGCAAAATCGTGTCTTTTCTAAAGACCCGTTTCCACGGCTTGCAACTCCGGCGACCTCTAGGAAACTCCGGTGACTACGAATCGGTCTGGAATTTATTGGGAAGTATTCCTAGACCTCTCACGACCCTCCTCTATCGTTTTTACGAAGTTTGATACGTAAAATATTATAGGCATAAATTTTCCGGCGAGATTATGTATATATATGTATATATAGCTTCTATATCTCCGATTTGCAGTGTTTAGGATGGCTAAGAGGGTGTATTTATAGGTCTAGATGGTCCTTATGGTTTATTTTATTTATTTGATAATTGTATGAATAATAATAATAATAATAATAATAATAATAATAATAATAATAAAAATAATAATGTCTATACATAATGATAGGTTGGTAGTTGATGAACATGGCATGTGTATTGATCCCTGATTTGATTCCCATTTATATTGATGTTTCATTTTATTTTATTTTATTATTATTATTTTTAATTACTTAAATGTATTTTGAGTTTTACATATAAATATATGTGCATAATGTATATACATTATTTGGTAGATGATCTTAGCATGTGTCATTGTTTTATGATATGATATTTTCATTTATTAATTTGATGCTATTATTAGTAATTTATAATATTCTTACTATTTTTATTTATTTATTTATTTATTTACTTATTATGTCACCTATATTTTATCTGATTTATTTCCATTTTTTTTTTCGATGCTACATAAGTGTTTAATTCTATTGCATGTAGTGTGCGTATATTTTTATACACCAAAAAAATATTTTGATCTTACTTTCATTTGATTTATCAGATATAACTTATCTGATTTATTTATTTATTTTTATTTCAAATTTTCAAGGTATCACAGCAGTCAACCGGTACATTTTATTTCAGACAGTCTAATTCGTCCTGAAATTTATTCAGGTCATCTAACAAAATATTTGAGAATAAAAATAAGGACCCGCTTGACTTTGATGATTTTTCCGTCTTCACTCGAGAGTAATTTTTATTTCTTTTCAGAAATCAATTTACGTCCCGAATTATCTTGAAATACAAAAATACACCAAAACAAGTGCAATACCTTAAAATGTCCAAGATGATAAAAATCAACCTTTTTTATTTAAAAATGAGAAATAAAATATTAAATGTGTGAGAAAACAAGATCATAAATATGGTAAATTAGGAGTACATCAACTCCCCCATACTTAGGATTTTGCTTGTCCTAAAAAAAATATTTACATTTCACACAAGCAAGCAAGCATAAATGAATTGCCAAATCATATGTGTAATCCTCAAATCATACACACTTTCCTTTCACGTACTCCACGTGGTCAATCAAATTCCCTTGACTTGTCACAAAATAAGAGTAGTGAGAATCATAAAAATACATCTGAAACGTTTTGATCAAATCTCAACTCTAACAAACACAAAGTGTGTGGTGTGCAAATGGAATCTAGCTTCGTTTGTTCAACCATGCAAAACTATGTAAAATAAAGTTTTCCTATTAACTTATTTCAGGCAAAACACAATTAAGAGCAATTAGGACTTCTCACATTGGGTTACAATGGGGTATGTGGAAAAAAGCTTATGAACAAAGGGAAATAAATCCCCCAAACAAAAGAAATGAACTTGACATAAATTTAACAAATTTAGGGAGGTACTAAGTAGTGAGTAGGAGATTTTGACAATAATATACACAACACTTGTTATTTTTAACAGTTAGGGGTAGTAACTAGTAAAAAGAGTAAATTGATGCACAAGAAAAATATACAAAAGAGAGAAGCATATACATGGATATTCAGCCTTGTTTAGATTTTTTTTTTCATTTTTTCTGTTTTTTTTTCTTATTAGATTTTTTTCAAGGCTTTTTAATGCTTGTAACAATAACAATTTACAAGAATAATATGTACAATGATGATACAACAAGAACAACTACCCCCATGGCATAAATGAATATTAACAACTACGTAATCACAAAAGTGTAATTGAAGCTCCGTAAATGTAAATGACACCCTTTAAACTCATTAAAATATATGCAAGTTCATTCTAGGGTGGATAGGAAGTGTTTGGCTTTTAGTCTAAGGGTCACATATAACAAGTTTTTATGAAAGAAAATTACAAAAGCAGGGTTAGTTAAGCATATTAACGCTAAAAAATGGCTCAAAGTGGGTGAACAGGGGATATTTATCACATGGGTAAGGCTAGGTATATGGGATTATGAAAAATGGCCTATATCATTTCCTAATGTGCTAAGTCAGAAAATCATGTCAAGGAAAATAAAAGCACATAGCACTCTTGTTTTGCACAATTTTAAACATATTGAACAATAGTTCACCAGATAACCATGTACGTGCATGAGATGTTTTGTGTTGTCCAAAGTTTAAAATTTGACCAAAATTTTACTCAATCCTCAACAATTATGATCCTCAATTCAGTAATTATTAAGAGACAAGTCCCGCCAACAATTCATGTACCATGTGAAAGAATAGAATGCATGATTTGAAAGTTAAACAGATGATAAGGCAATTCACAAACAAACAAACATTCATATTCTCCCCCACACTTAAGACGAAACATCGTCCTCGATGTGACAAATATATACAGGGCCGGTGATAAGTCCGTATTTAGACACGCATTTGATGTGTGTTGAGATCGGAATTTGATGGTTTTCCTAGCTTTAAGGTGTTACAAGTCTCAATTTTAGCTCAAGTTATGTTTAACAGGTGTTGGTTCGAGTTTTGTGTCATTTGGAGTCAAAAACAGGATTTTAGAGTTCGGCACTGACGCTTGAGGAGAAATCAGGATGAGTTGAGAAGCATTTGAGATTGATTTGAGAGCTATGGAGGTCACCGGGAGGTTTACGATGAAGATTTGATGACAAAAGAGCTCTAGGATTGGCTTCGGGATCAAAAGAAGATGAATGAAGCTTGAAAACGACGATCAGGATGACCTTCTGTCAATCGTTCAAGCATATCTATTTGTCGAAACAACCAAAGGACAAGATTCAAGTTGTATATGAAAGCCACCTTCAAGGGCTACAAATCATATGAATACTCCATTACGAGAATATGAGAGCAAGAAGGTTACAACAGATGATGAAGTCAGATGATCGCCGCTGCGATTTCAAAATGACACCTTACACTGTTTTGATCATATCTCTTGATTGGATGATTCAAATAACATTCGGCAAATTGGGGTGGATAGAGGACTTCATTATCTACAACTTTCATGAAGAAATTTTTGTCAAATTCGGAAGTTTGACCCACGCCGTGCGTAGGGGAACGCACGATCGTGCGCCTGAGGCGAGAAAGCAAGAGAGCCACTGCCACGTACGCACGATCATGCGTGGCAAGGTACGCACGATCGTGCGTACATATGGAACGCGGATTTCAGCCTCTTTTTAGCCCCAGTTCAGCCCAAACTCATCCGTTTTCTATAAATAAGGCCTCCCTTCTCCTGTTTAAGGGTTACGAACATTACGGAGAGGCCTAGGGACAAATTTAACATCGTTTTTACGCTATTTTCTTCCAAGACCCTGAGATTTTTTGTAAGTTCATCTTTTTAATTAATGACAATTTATTCTATTCATCCCAATTCTGTTGATTCTTCAATTATGAATTGTGAGTAGTTTAATTAGGGATTTGGGGTTGATGAAGGGGTTAATCATGATTGATGGCTAGATTTTTTGTCGGTTTAATTGCATGAATGTCGTTTGATTTGTGTTTGAATAATTTAACTGATATCTTTTGTAACCTGGAATCGCGACTAGAATTACAATTGCATGTAAAATGAATTAAGAGAGATCTAGTTTATTCTAAGACACCTTCACACACACTTAATCATTCGCTAAGAGATTAGTAGCGATTAAGGGGCCGTAAGCTCGCTCGTCTTGGCAATAATTTAGGAACCTGTCGCATGAGAGATCAGCCTGGTCTCCTAAATTATTGTACTCTACGCCGCGAGAGCGGTAAGAACTTAGTAATGATTAGCTAGGCTCAATTGAATCAATTTCATGTAATTAGGCCTGATCTGCCAGAAATCTGGTTACCCCGGAATCAATCCTTGTTCCCTTCGTCATTAATTAGAGAGAACCTGTTAGGCCCCTCAGACTTTGATGAAATATAGTTTTGATGATGCAATCCTCCCTTGATGTTTAGATTTTCTATTCAATATTAAATTATCATTGTGTGAACTGAAGTATGGTCCAAAAAGGAAGGTGACAAAATTAGGAATGTATAAATTGTGTCACAAAATAAATATACTGAAAATATAAAATGCAATAAGGTAAATCCCTACCTTTCAAGGATATTCAAATCCAATCAGTATATTTATTTGTGTTACAATTTTATTATTGTCACTAGTAAAATTGTGACTAATCTTACATGTACATCTTATGTACAAAATTAATTTTACTGGAAATATAAAATGCAATAAGGTAAATCCTTCTTTACCTTAAAAAGGATATTTAAAATCCTACCAGTACAAATTAATTTTGTACACAAGGACCAAAGTCACAAATTTTACTTGGTAAGCTGTATAATCACGAGACACTCCAGAGTTGCCTGTGAAGACAAAATCCCACTAGATTATGAATAGTGCGCAAAAGGCCTAAGGAATGGGTTTACATATCCTGCAAAGCAAGTTGCTCCAATTGCGTCTGAAGATAAGCTGCTCCAACACAAGAAGACGAAAGTACAAGAAGCCTCAACGACATAGATTAAATCCTCTCAACCAACGGAGGAGATTAATAAACCAGAGATGCCTATAAATTCGGGCATAAGCATGAGAAGAAAAACAAGCTCCTGAGTTCACTAAGCAGAGAAATCATACTACACAAAGAAGATATCTAGCAAAAAGAGAAAGTGTTCATTACATTCTGCTCTCTGCTTAGACTCATGCTTCACTAAACCTTCTAGAACCGAAATCCTCATTGATACACTCAGAAAGTTTAGTTTTTAGTTGGAGGCTAGAAGTTTGTTTCATATTAAAACTGTTGTAAACACTTCTAAGGATAGCGTCGTCTAAGTCCTTAAGTGTGGTAGAATAGGATAGAGTACCTTTTGATCCCCACTGGATCAATCGAGAAAAACCTAAAGGATTGAGTAACTTGGAGTGGTGTGTACTCTCAGTGAAACACCTTGAAGTCTGAGCAAGTTGGTGATAACAGCCAGACGGTCACTAATTGTATTGGGCTAAATACTTTAGTGGAAATCCATCTGAAAGAGGATGAGACTG